CCACCTACGTAACGATTTTTTGTTCGCAACCGGACAACCTGTATATTTTATTTCCGCAGTATTTTTCGATGTCTCGTAAAATTCGTTCGCACAAATCGATTTTTAACCAAGACGAATGATTGCGCAGTAATTTCTTTCCTGCGAATTTACGCCACTGTCGAAAGGAGGGAAAATCCGTTTCAATTAAAAAACCACAAGGAAAAAGCATAATAAAAACCGACAACGTGATTTGCGTCCGCAGCTCCTGCTCCTTGCGGCGTTGCCAGGACGACGAAATATTAAATAACAGGAAATCGCGAGGTCGAATTATTAACCTGTAGCAGGTACACTGGAAACTTCAATTACTAGTTTATTTCGCATTGAGCATCGAAGAAAGTTTTCACTAACTTTCCCAACTAAGTTAGTTGGTATTCATGACTTTTAAATATTAATTATCGCGCTACAAAGCTTGCGTGAGACGTGAAATTAGGCAACATTGCTTCTTTTTATCCAGTTTCTCGCTCCGAGTTGATTATGCAAATCAAAAAGTGACTGGAACACCCTTAATTTTTGTAATTTTTACTCGACAAAATAAATTTGACTTTAGAAATCCTTCGAATTTTCAAAAAAAATTTGTACCACTAAAGAAACTATAATAGGGGGGTGAAAATCTATTTTTATATGCAGGAAATTTTACCGGCTGGTATTAAGATAAAGGATATTTATCGTCGCATTTTCGCTAAGTAGATATTTTCATTAGTTTCTCGAGGTATTTTATTTTTAACGACGACGCGCCGCGCTTTCTTTTGAATAATTAAAGCGGCTCGCCCGGCCCTGCTCGATATTCCTGCGCGCTTTCGCCGGCCGGGGAGGTAAACTATAAATCGCCTCGAAAATCTCGACCAAGTTATAATTAATAGCAACATGAAAGCCACTTAAGCAACTTTCCTAGCCCAACGAAAATAGAATAAATCAACAGCCCCTCGCAAGAGCGCTAATAGCTTCAAATTGATGTTTTGTTTAACGGGCTGAGGGTGGACGAAAAACAACGCTAGTAAAATACTCGTTGATTCGCAACCCCTGTAGTTTCTGCACTTAATTTTTTAATAAAGTAATTCCTCGGGCTAATACTCGAGGAACTTATTTCTACACGTTGATTAAACATTTGTTACGGTTAACGACGCATTTGCGATAATGCCGATGATCCATTAAACGGGTCTTTGTGAGGTATTTGCTCGGAAAACGTTGTGTTATTTTTTTTTCATTTTTATTTCAGGACGCAAATCGAATACATCGAACGTGTATTAATTAAAGAAAATCGCTCAAAGGCTTTTTCACGTTACATTTAGTTTACACGTGCTTATACAACAACGATCCCGTTCGAAACGAATTTCGCGGCGATTTATAAATATTTATTCGAATTATTATAGAGGTGGCGCTGCTGGTAACGGTTATTTCGTTACTTGGATGTCTAAACGTATATAAATTATAAAAAAAAGCGCCGCTGGAGAAAACGACTTTCGAGTTCTCTCTTTCCACGCTAAATGCATTCAATTAGCTGAAATAACATTTAGGATTCCGACTATGACGGTGCAAGTAAACTTCGCCGTTATTCTAACTCGTAACAGTGAATATCCGAGTGCCGAATCGCCCGGGCAAATCCCGACGTTTTGTAAGAATTTAATTTCGAAACGTCGGAATTGCATTTGCATATATAAAAAAAGAGCGGCGCAGGAAAAACGCGACCGGTAAATTAAAAGTTGTAATTAAAAAGGAACTTCATTAGTTTTCATCTCTATAAATCGTCGTATATGTGGTACATTCGCTGGATTTCGGTAAATATTGACTGGATGTCGGACACTTTGTGTTGAATTAAAAATGGCCTTTTCATCGAGATGAAAGGAAATTGTATTTCTTCGGTGGGTAAGATATATCTTTTTTTTTGTCGAGAGAAAATTGAATTGGATGCGAATTCGATCGAATTTTGTCCTGAGAGTTTTTACTTGTTTTCCTCTAAAAATAGCGACAACAAATATACATTTACAGCGTCATTTTTATCCATTGAAACGTCGAATATCATAACTTCGAAAACCTGTTATTCTTCTGTTATCCCCGAATTTTCCCGCTAACTTGCCGATATCATAAAAAATGTGTTTTATATCCGCTATGAAAACACTTACAACTGACCACATAAATACACCTTCCCTCCGGCTTCCTTACGCACAATTTTTCGCAGTATAAAAATAAGGGGATGATAATTTCCACAGGACCGGATTCGTTCCAATAACATTCCTAATTTTTAGATCCAACAAGTTAATAGAGATGAATATTTACTAAAAAAACAGCATCTCATTAGTAACAATCCCTTTTGAGCCATTTCCGCGCTGTCAAATTTCATTTACGCTAAAACTGTTTTCTTTCATGTTCTCGCCAGAAATGAGAAACTGCATGAAATCGCATCGTTTCGACGGAACGATCCCTCATTATGCCTCACACTTCTTTTAAAATAAAAATGACAAAGTCAACAATGTCTCGACGTTCTTACCAATAGGAACAAAAAGCAAATCCACCGGGACGAAATTCAATAACGCCCCCAACAGCTACATAAAAGAATTAGTAAATCATTGTGCGTATAAAGAGTAAAATTTCGCTATATGAAAAAAACAATCAATTAAAGAGGATCGAGTGGAAGGTAATATTGAGAAATTGACCGGCTGTAATCCGGATTAGCTCCTCTGTTAGAAGGATAGCAAAGAAGAAGAGCAATCTTTTTTATCTACCTCCCTTTCGATAACCAAAAAGTTTGTCACACAAAAAAAGTCAGCCGCTGCATTTTCATGATATCGGGCGGCATTCGAGGATATTTCCTTTTTCTCGGCGCTCTCTCGACGCCGACCGGAGCGTATTATATCGAGAAATCGGAAAATCCGTTCGTCTTCCTCAATTTTCTTACCATTGTTTGCACGCTTAATCGAATAGAGCGCCGGCGTTTCCGAGGATTGCTTTCCTATTTTCGATAAATCCACTTAATAACTGGTTGATTTGCCGGATTCTTAACCGAAGTCGCGTGCGACTATGTATTGATTTACGAATATTTCACCGCCCTGTATATAGGTATGTAAATTTCGGTGAAAACGACCGAATTATGATGCATTAGCCCGCTTTAATGTGTTGTTGCGGAGTGATTAATATTAATTAATATTTGCTACATAATAGATATACGTCAAATTAATTACAGTACGTGCGGGAGATGTAATTTTATTCGATATAAATAACGTTTTGGTTTTGAATGTAAACGTAATTAGAAATCGGTCTTTGGTTGGGAAATTAGATTTTATTTAAACAAAATTCATAACAGGAAACGCCGTTCTTATACGCGACCCTAAAACTACCCACCTTTCAACAACAATCTCCGAACGAAACTAGTAAAATTAATTAAAATTTGAGACGCGTATACAGTTTCCCCCGTCGAGCGCGGCGCGCCCGGGAAACTTGTACAACTTGGAAAACTTCAATTCGCTGCGAAAGCGGCCTATGTTATTTGATAACTCACTTTGCGTTAATTAACGATACATCGGTATGACTTCTAATTCCTCGTTCCTTTCTAATTCCAGGTCATTTATGAGGTGTTATTAAGGCGGCATATTATAAACACGCTGTATTATACACTGTACGAAATCTTCAAAATCCATAATTCGGTACAACAAGGAAGCCGGTTAATCCGACGTCTAGTTGTTTGTCATTATAAGGCATAAGGGTCGAGAAAACAACCCTTCTCAATGCCCCTACCATTATCGCTAGCGCTGGCATTTCGTTCGGAGGTGATTTAATCAATGCGATTCGGGCGAAATGCCCGATTAAATATGATTCTATTCGAGCACGAAATGTACTCTTTTGTTCATGTTTCTCCTCTAACCCACTAGCGATTTCTCGGGCGCCCAAAATTGATCAAAATATTAGCGTTACAAAATCTGTATTTATGTAATTTTTCGTATATTGTCTATAAATAAAAAAAGTTTCAAAGCGCCCGTTACGTTATTTATAATGCGATGAAGGCGATAAAACTAAATTGCACCTGTAAGCATTCTTCATTTGATAATATCGTCGTCGTGAAAGGGTCCTTACAAAACGGTGATTTATTAGAAGCATTATTACCTCCGTAATTTCAGAAATATCGGAAAAGTTGGGGAATTTTTATTTTTACGATCGATGCCCAGAGCCGGCTCTGTCTCGATTAAATTTCTATATATCCTGCATTTCAACCCTCTTCACGTAATTAACTCGAAAAAAAAACTTGTTACTTGATACGTCTTTCGGAGCGCCGCTTTGCGAACGTAATTACGCCAATTAAACAGACGTTTTTAATTACAGAAAACGCAACAACCCCGACGACCCCTGACAAAAAACAGACCGGGTGTTTTTTAGGGGCGGTTAGACCCGATCGAAATCGGCGATAATATTTATTTCCGGGCGAATCGCAGAAACCGGGGCTTGTCACACGCAGCAGAAACAGACGCTAATGCCGAAAAGGGGATCGTTATGATTGAACTGTCAAAATCCCCGAATCGATATTTACACCCCTATCACGCAACGCTGCCTTCCGTAAAAAAAATAAAACAGACAGCGAAAATATCAAGCATCCCGCAAACAATTTGGATACACACACTCCATTATTATTACATTAGCGCGCGTGAACGGTAAAAGTATAAAATCGTTTCCCGCCCGATTATAAATGGCTTTTCTCATTAAGTGGATTGATCAATTAACAGTTTCGGGACGGCATTAGCGGTCGACCGGTCTTCCGCCTTCACCGTCGAGCCCCCGCGTAGATACACCCGGATTACGTGCGTTGCGTCCAGAATCCCGACGAGCCTCCCGGATGATTAATAAGAGAAAACCTTACCTCGAACCCTCGCCCCGACTTCTAACTCCGCAACTACGGGACTCCCGAAGATTATCGGCCGGGATCATATTTCCGATATTAATGAACGCAGGTACTGACTGGCTGGTTTTCTTGTTAGGTGAAAGGCCGTTCCCCTGCAGCTGGGAGGGCTGCGGCAAGCGGTTCGCCAGATCGGACGAATTGGCGCGCCACACGAGGACCCACACCGGCGAGAAGAACTTCGCCTGTCCCGTGTGCAACAAGAAATTCATGAGGAGCGATCACCTCAGGTGAGGACTACTTTCAATTAACTATTCAACCACGCAATTATTCCTTTCCCTAACAGGACAATCCATTAGATGTTACGGAATTCCTGGGACTTGTTGTGGCTCCACAAAAAACCTACAATAAAGACCTAAATTCCTGCTGTTTTGGCCTTCCTCTGCATTTACCATCCAGTTCAACTCATCCTATACATTTACCAGATTCTTTACTAGTCATAAAAACTGGTAAAATTGTTATTAATTGTAGCAAACACGCCAGGCGACATCCGAATTTCGATCCATCCATACTGAGGCAGAGAAGGGCCCCCAACAGGGCGTTTTCGATCAACAGCAGCGACGGTACCCCGTCGGAGGTACTGTCGGATTCGATGCCAAGTCCGTAACTCTCGAGCGTTCGTTTCAGCTCTGTTAATTCCGTTGTTAGACGCATTTAATTATCGAATGGAGGAATTACCTAAACGCCAAATTAACGTTAACTGTAGGTTTAAGTGTTTGTATAGATGATTCGTTTCGGTTTTTGTTTTTGTTTGTTTTTTTTTTTGTAACGTTCGTTTACTGTGAGAAATTGTTTGAAGTTCACGATGCAACAGGATGTTCCTAAGTTATAACTGTAATGAAGTTAGTTTGTAATTTATTTTGATTAGGGTCGAGATCAAATTGTGTCAATTACTGTTTTTCATTTCTGTTGATATTGAATGCAATGAATAACGAAATTGGTTGGACATTGATGTTTTTTTTCGAATTTGTAAGAAGAAAAGTAATCAAAAACGAAAGATTTGTAAAACTTTGTATACCGGATGTCCAATTCAATTTTTTGAATAATTAGAAGTCGTACAATAAAATTATCAAATATTCTAATTGAATGTGAATTATAATTTTTTTTGATTAAGAAAAATGTATATAATCATAGCGTACGTCAAATTCGTAGGTTTAAAAAATTAGGCAAAGTAATTTAGTGGGTATCTAACTTGTATAAGATGATTCATAATTACGTTATTAATTAAAAGCTAATTTTGAATCACCTTGCGATTTTAAATAGGGAAAAAATTAGTACCCTACCTAAGAAACTCATTCTCAAGTAGAGTACCTAAATACCTAAATACCTAATATGTGATATTTATGATTTATTTTCACAACCAATCGCTAATTTTAGTTTCGCGTATTTTTGTTCATTTCGAAATTAGCGATCGGTATATTTTTTTATATTAAACCCAGTCGCATTTGTTTTGCTTTCCTCGACAATCGTTGAAAAAAAAATAATGAAAAGCGTAACTATCACCCCATAGATTCAATAATTTCATCTCCTTTATATAAAATGATGAATGGTTAACAAAGAGTGGTCCAAAATTATTTAAATTTGCACAATTTGTTTGTATTTTATACCTCCTTGAATGTCATTAGATATTTTTAGTACCGGTATTAGAAAACAAAAATATTATACAGTGTGTTTGAGACATTAGTAAGATAGTGAATAATCGAGATAGATACCGGGTTGTGAGCAATTTCCATTCCAGAATGAACCGCGGTCGAATAATTAAATCATATCTGTTCTTCCAGAAAAAAATCAACCTAATTATTATCTATCAAAATAGTTCATAAGATAAAGTGCTAATAGAAATAAATAATGGATCACTTTACAAGTTCATCGAGATATTTTGTTACATTAGAAGACTGTAAAAAATCAAAAAAAAAGACTACTTACTAGCTACTACAATAATCGAACTCCTAATTGATCCATTATGTAGCTTTATTGTATTTTAGCTGTAATTAAATTTCGGCAAACAAAAACCTGCATATCATTAAAGCCGCATTTAGCGTAGAAATAGTCGAAAATTAACGAACCCTCACCTGTATTAGTAAATCAATGTGCTTTCGAAAACGAATAAAAATACTTGTGTACGCCGGAATTTAATTAAAAATGATTATAGCATAAAATCGTATCGAATTATTTGGGCTGTACACGTTAATATAATATTAAAACAAATAATCATTCTATCTATTATTATGTGAATTAGTCCGTTTCGCTGTAAATTCGTTCTCTCTAATTATTCTATTATTATTTTTTACAATAGGGTTAATATTGATCATCGATGGGAAAGGGCTTTATTATCAGAGCGTTGCGACAGGGGCGTACTTGCGCTTAATCGACCCTGTTACTTTAATAATAATAAATAATTAACCGCGAGTTAATTCCCTATGTTTTTTTAGTATTAGTGTATTTTTTTCTTTATAAATTGCACTCAACTTCGACCAAATTAGACGCACTCGAAAAAATAATGGTCTAGAATATTTTTATATTTTTCACAACGCTTATTCGTCATGTTGTACTTACCTAAGAGTCTATCACGTTGTACCATAATTAGTGTTACCTACCTGGCAAATTGTAAATATTGTACATACAAGAAAAAATATCTTGAATTTATTGACCGTTTATGTTTTAATATATTATCAGTTACAAGTGGATGAATAAAAGTTGCATTTAGATGATTCGCGTTGTTTTATTTTCGTTCGTCAGAAAAATCTTACTGTTACTTCCATGCAAAATATCGGACTTTCTATATTATTCACCTTGCCTTCTATCCTTACCCTGCCAGGATTCTAAAAAACATTAACCTCCATATAATTTCTGTAATATTTTTTTAGGATTACTTTACGTACTTTCCACTTGATGGGGCTGAAGTCGATGGTGGTGTTAAAAAATTCGTGGTGGTGTTTCTTCGGCTGCAAAGGACATTTCCACCGGTCGCAAGGATTGCTCGGAGATATTTTCAGCTTCCAGGAAAAACCAGCTTGTATTATTTCAGCCGTTGCGACCATACTCGAAAATTGCGGCACCGTTTCTAAGAGTTAGAGACCGTCAGCTTGATTCCTAATATTAGAGCGGTATATTTACTTGAAACTTCCAATTTGAGGCTCGTGTGCGATTTTTGGTTTAAATCTATCATACACGGCGCTATTTCGCAATCGTTGAAGATTAGCGATTCAACTGGCATGTAATCAGCATCACCTGTGGTGAGAAGAAATAAGAAAAATTGTTGTATAGATAATTAAATAATTTTAAAAAAGTTATGCTAAACTTACCGCAGTCTCTGAAATCCAGAACATCAGACAACGAGTTATCAAAGCATGATAGCAATATGATAATTCCCAAGACGAGCATTTTGAACTAAATGCACGATTTTTCCGGAGATTTCTTAGATTTATTTTACACCAAACATAATATCACTGACACTGATTTTATACTGTTTATTGATGATTTTTTGATTGGATTAATTCAATTGTGATTTTGATGAGAACTTTCTCGTACATTAAAATTGTATCGATTCGATTAAAATTTTATGTCACTGGCTATCAGTCTATAGGGAAACTTTAGATAACTTACTTCATCAAATTTAATATCAATTGTGTTTAACGTTTAACCACAAACCAATTTTCGAGCTTTTATTAGAAACAATAAATTAAAAAAATAAACCTAACATAAACGCTTAAAATCTAACTTTCATTTCAACGCAAAATATGGGATGGTCCTTATCATCGAGGATTCCGCTCACTCTTAGCGTGCCCGGGAACTAAAAAATTAATTTCAGATTAATGTATTATTTTTTAGGATTTTTCAAATTTCCCGTACCTTCACCCTTATATTGCTAAAGTCTATACTGGCGTTGAAAACGTATTGCATGGTTTTATGCACAGGACATTTCCAGCTGATGCAAGGATTATTCGGGGATATGTTTACAGCCCATGTGCCTCCCAGTTGAATCATTTCTGCTGTGGCACTGATGCTAGAAAATTGTGGGATCGAGTCTATAAAGTTAAATATAATAGATTAAAGCTCTTGATGCGTTCGTAATATATTTACTTGTAACGTTTAAAATCAGCTGCAGGTCCTCCTTGTCATTGTGATCGATTTTGCAGGGGGTAATATGGCAATCTCCGAAAATAACTGATGCTATAGGCATGTGCCCGTCAGAAGCTGGGTTTTATAAGAAATTAACAAACATTAACAACATATGTGAGTTTCAAGAAGCATAAAAAAAAGTTTTTATCTTGTTTAATTTGAATTTTGATATCAACAGGCGCCTAATTTAATTGAAATTTCGCGTAAATTATTAAATCTAATCTACATCATTTTCTCGATATTTTAAAGTAATTAAATATTGTTTTTAAATTAGGCATCTATTCATGTACTAGTCACTTTTTTACTTAATCACCTACACCTTTATACATTACACGTGCTAATTACCCACACGAGTTTACACTAAACTTTTAAATAAGTAGTTTAAAAAATAAACAATTTACCGCAATCTAAAAAATCCAGAACTTCTGACGACGAATTGTCGAAGTACCAGAGCAGAAGGAAAATAAATCCAATGGAACGCATTTTGAACCGTTGCGAATTATTCGCGATTTTTTCTGTAGAGCACTCGGACTTATTTTACGCTAAATGTATCACTGATACTGATTTTATATTTGATATACTCGTACTCGACGATTTTTATTAACACAAGTGTTTTGATTATCTTTTTTTTTTCGAAATGCATCGCATTCGTCGAGATTTACACCTGCAATTCGAAGTAGGCGAGGGTTATTTGTATTTTTGTTTATTTAATTGAAATTTTATGTCGAGATGAACGTGATAGCGAGCAGGTTGTTTTGTAAATAGTAGTTTTGTGATAAAATTTAATTTTGTTAACAAAAAAAGACCCTTTGTCGTATTCGTTTGATTGATAATTTTGACATTGACCTTTGATAACTAACTAACCTAACTACAATTAATAAAGTGATGTCAATAAAAGTGATTTATTATTTGCACTATGATCAATTGGTTAAGGAATTGTCGCACCTTCTAGTTCTGATTGCTAATACAAAACTCCTGCTTTTTTCGAAAGTTTTTTTCCTGTACAAATCGTATAAAAATTACGCTTTAATTTTCTCATTAGCACTCAAACTTAATACTTGAAGCGATAAAACGAGATCGATAATTAAAATGTATGACGCAACTTTACCGTCTACTCCATGCAGTTTCTCTTCAACGCAAAAAATCGATAATGCTCAAAATAAACGTTTTTTTTAATAAATCGACCTACACACTAAATTATTACAACAAATTTAAGAGGCAATAGTAACTGGGACTTCAAAGCACAATACGTTCTTGTTGTCGGGAGATACCAGGGCCCAATGCACCGTCGTTTGTATCTGAAAAATGATAAAAACAAATAAACGATGTTCTATTAAATTCAATCCTTATATCATTAAATTTATAAAATTATTGGTGTTAAATATGAAGTTACATGAAGAGATTATTTGCAAGTGTTGCCCAACTTACCGAAGGGTATATCTTGAGGATTTCGAAGCTGTCGTTGTAGAAGTAATCCTGGCCGGCTTTCAAATCGCAATTGGGCAATTTCTTGCCATCTTTGTCGAAAACATGGGAACATGCATCTTCACCATCCACTCCGACAAAAGGCAACTTGGCGCCCAATATATCGGCTGTTACGTGGTTCTTCAGACCTTTAATATTTTCAGCTGAAATGCAAATAGTTTTAAGCAACCTCTATGGTAATGATGGTAATGATTAGCTTTAATTTACCTGGTGTAAATTTCATCGATACTTTCAAGAAACTGTCCTTTTTCACGCGACATCCTCTCTTGTTGCAATTGTCGATTTGAATTCTGTTGTTCAAGTCATCGATTGGATTGTCTGGAAAATAATTACATTATTAACTGGACTATGAAAGCCTGACGATAAATAAAGTTTTATTACTGTAGGTAGGTACATCCGTTTTTAATTAGTTACAATAATAATTTATAGAGCAACCAAACTAACTGTGCTATATTAGGTAAATAAAATTACTGCCGATAAGATCAAACAAATATAATACATTTAATACCGGATATAATATCCTCTATAATTCGAGTGTAAAATGATATTTATTTCGTCCAGTTTTAAGTTATTACACCCGATTTTAGAGAAGCGCAGGCCTAATTAGAATTTGTATGAATAGATAATTTCGTTCACGAGTTGATTGTGTGGTGAAAATAATCTCTTATGTACCTGTCGGGGATTAATCGAATCGAAAATCGATGGTTATTCAATACTATTCTGGGAGACTACGTCAAATTCGAAATACATAATTTATCAGTATTTGCTTAATCGATTCCAAAGGAGCAAATTGTCGTTTAATCAACGATAAACTGTTGTTATTTTTATCAATTTAACGAAATTTTTATTTAAACAAACACGCGTTTTGTATCGACAGGTTGAAGTTGTATGTAAATAGATTTCTATTTTCTGTTACTTTTTGGAATTAACAACAAATTATTGTAGAGATTAACATCTAAAAATATACTTAGGTACTTTATTTTTTATGGATTAATATTGTAAAAAATTGTTGGTTTAATAAATATTCAGGTGCATTTGTTAGAGTACCTACCTACCCAATTTCATACGGAAAGTTTATCAATATAATTTATTGGAAATTAATTACATAGGTCACCTACCTACAGACGTACATAAATACTACATAATTACCTAATTTCACTTAGTAAAAAATTTATTACCATTGAAGTTGTTCAATTAAATATAATAAGCAAATAACAGAATTTAGTAAATTTTTTAATTAACAATTATATTAAAAGATAGCAATAGAAGACACCAATTCCCAGACCTTGCCCTTTGTACACTTGGGAAATTAAATAAAATATCTATTAAACTATCATTAAAAATATACGCAAATATCGATTTTATTCGTCGCGTTTGAAAATTAAAAATAATACATTGAAAATTTCGGCAATACATATCGTTGAGTAACAGGAATTTAATTTATTATTATTCGCACAAAAAATATATCAATGCCCGTTTCATATGTAAATAATTTACGGTGTTCTATATATGTAATTAAAATAGGTTTCTATGGTTACTACCGTATTATATACAATGGCAACTAGATAAATAAACAAAGAGTTGAAGGTAATTAATGAGGCAAAGATAAGACAGAAAATGTGTACTAAAAACGTTAAAATAGCGATTGTCAAAAATATTATTTGTTTAAATTATTGTCACCACTGCCTAACTTTTATAACAAAAGTGAAACGTCCAAGCTGTTAAAAATTTCGTTATATAACGACTGTGCTCAAAAAAAATCTCATTTTATGTAATAAGAATAATGCATATTAATTATTACGTACCGCTATCGCATTGTTTTACGTTAATTGCAGCAGCGCAAGCAACAAAGGACAAAACAACGATGATTTTCATTTCGACAATAAAATCAACCACACACCGAATTCAAGTATTTATAGTTATTGGATTTTTTTTACCACTCAACGCACGTTAATTAATCCGGCAATACAACGTTTGTAAACGTATACTACCTGGACTATTCGGTGCTGTGTCGACCGGATTACTTCGGAACTCTCACTCGAAGAATTCGTTTAAATAAAAGGAAACTCGTCTCCCTTTCCCCCTTCTTCAACACCAATGTTTCAACGGTTTTCGATCCATCACATGCAAATCAGTTATCCTTCACGTACACTTCTCAGGTGTTTTTTTTTATGTATTCCGCGTAAGTTCCTGTGATGTGCATTTGAGAAAATTAATTTTCAAGTTCGTTCGTTTGTGTTAATGCAACAATGAAGAGCGGAAATGTTGAGGTACATTTTATTTATTTTTTATATACAGGATGCATCAATTATATCTTGTTATATGCTTTGAAAAAATTGTCATTTTAGGGCAATAAATTTTTTAAACTTTGAGCGGTTTTTTTTTATTTTATTGTGTACATGGTGTAATGAAAAAAAAGTTTTGTAATGGATATTTAATCATATTGTTGAAGCTATTGTGTCTTATTATGTTTCAAAGTAGTTTTTTTAATTATCTTTTTAATCGAGAGCTGTCAGTGAAACCTTGAAATATAAATTTGTAAATAATGCTTTTATACCTATTATATATAATTATAACAATTATATAAAAAAATGTAATATAAATAAAATTCCATCTTATAGCACTTTGTAATGATTATTGCCCAATGTCCAATAAGAGACATTTATTGCATTAAATTTATAGTGCATATCATCTTCTTACAAACATCTTTAACATTATTTTTTCTTATAATTTTCCATGTTTGTTTTTAGCGGAAGAATGTACCACATTTATTATTCCACGAACATCGTATAAAACATTAAATTTGAGTCAAAACACGTTTTTAATACTTCCACACAACCATGGTCAAGGATATTCGATTGTAAAGGTTTACCTACCTACATATAAATTTTATTTACCAACATTTGTTGTCGAATTACATGAGGATGTGACGCTTGAACAACCAGCAATTACCTCTCAAACGAAACAAATTAACGAGCATTACAAGTTTTCTAACACATATCAGGCCAAATTACAATTTGCTGGCCGGTAAGCCGAGCAAATCTTTTACTAATTCAGCGACTTCGTCCGCGCATCCTATGGATAAAGTTATTCCGGCGCCTCCGTGCCCGTAATTATGTATGATTATAGGCGGCTTGTTGTTAACGTTAGTTTGAACTTGCAAACGAACTTCCTCCCGGCCCGGACGCAAACCCACTAAATATCTTTTAGTTCTGGCGTTGCTCAAAGACGGGGCTATTTCGGCACAATTCCTGCAAATTCCTCTGAATGTATTACAATTAAAATCGATAATACTAATGATAAGGCACCCTGTTTCGGCTAACTATAAGATAGATCCACGTAGAGAGGAAATTTTGGAAGTCATGACATTACTACCACTGATGGTTAGGCAACCAAATTTGCAGTAGGCAATCAGAGGAGAAGTTCTTAATTAAGTACAGGGTTAATTTAACTACATAGTTAGCAGAAACATTTAGTGTTATAATTACTTTCTTATGTTTAATTTCTGCTCTTCATTAACGCTTGTGTCGTCGGTAACGATAGCTGTACCACCCAATACGCAATGCCTAGTATTCGGGATAACATATCCCAATTTGCGAGGACTGTCCACTATTTTAACGTGGAATTGCCACGGTGCTTCGATCTTTTCTACTTGTCCTCTTATGGGAATCATTTTATCGTCACCTACAATAATTCGAGAATCGATACTATCGAATGTATCCAATATGTTCACTCACCGACCAAAACTTTAGCACCCCAACCGGTGCAATTAATAATCGCATCGAATTGGTCCAATTCCTTCAACGATTTAACTTCTCTTTTCACGATCGTCCCGCCGTTTTTGATGAATTGTTTTTGTAAACGGGGCAAAGCGATCGAGCTTTCCCAAGTGAAACTAGTGAAAGTGTACCCGTTTGTTAATTTCAAGCCGTATTTTCGACTCAGATGTTCTAAACATTTTGCAGGTAGTTTCTCGTAACCTAAGGTGGTCTCTAGCCAAGATGGAATTTGGAAATTCTTCTCTTCCGTGTAATATGAACCTGGTAGAAGACAGATTCCTAATTCTGCTGCTCTACCTGCATAATGAGGATAAGGTGAGTTAGTTTATTACATCGTTATTTACGTAGAAGTACCTTCTTTCCACCATTTTAACAGCTGCTGGTATGTGACAGACGACCATCGTAGAATCTTCCCTTCCGGAGTGTTTTGCAGTGAGAAAGGAGCCCAATATCCTGCAGCAATGTCGCTGGTAGTGTTCGGACTCGTTTCTTTCGTAATGATTGTTATTTTTAAGCCGGGAAATCGTTCCTGCAATCGCATTGCAGTAGTCATTCCGATGATACCGCATCCTAAGACAGCTATTTGGTGCATCGTGCATATATTAAAACAAAATTACAACTAATTTGTGTTATTATCGTTTATATTAATTGCTCTAATGTTATCAATCATAAATAAACACAATAATATTGATAACCATTAGGTGACCTAGCCATGATAATTATTTATTTATAACGAATTATATTTGTTTTATACAATATGGGCTGTATTCAGTGCTAACCATAACGTATAATTGTTAAGATAAAGAGATTCTGAGACGATGGATTAGCGTTAAAAAGAAGTGCTGAATACGGTCCTGTATGTTTTATTACGTATTAATCAAAGTTACCCGACCTTCAAACTTCAAACAACCCTTCAGAACAAAATTCAAAATTCTCAGTGAAAAGCATCATTACTCAAATACCACAAAAAAAAACTATATTAAAAAAAACTAACAATACAAAAAAAATCACCAAAACGAAGTAAATAAAAAGCTCATTCGAAATGGATTTGGTCAAAATAGGTTGTCAACCGGACGAGTACGTTCAATACAAAGATCCGGAGGATTACGTGAAGATGGAGCTGCACACGTTCCCGTTGCACTATCCGCCGCCGCCGGACGTGAACTACGGCATACCGGAGAAGTGGCTGAAGATCATGGCCAAGTACAAGTTCAGCTGGAGGATCATCGAGCTGGCGAAGGCGTTCGCGCGCAAGTCGCGCAAGAAGTACGGCTGGAAGCCGCCCCCGCCGCCGGAGCCGAAGCGCCCCCGCAGGAAGAAGGAGGACCCGGAGATAGTGTTTTACTCCGATCAGATGTCCAGGGCGCCCATACGGTAAGATACATTCTTCTTCTTTCAGTACCATCTCATGAGGTTGGAAATCAACAAGTTGAGTTGCAACTGTACCACTTCCTTAAATTGCTAAGCCTTCAAAGAACCTTTCGCAGTTTTCCTTGCATTATTAGCCTCAGTAATTCATTTTCTCCTCTCATTAGTTTAATGTCAATTATAGTTTCCAGTAAATATAAGAGTAGATTTATAGTCCAGATTGTTTGTAGCACGATGGAGATCAACAAGAAGATGTACGCTAAAGTGTTGGATTTGAAGCACAGGCAGAAGTTGAGGAGGAACATAAGATCCGCTTGGGAATCGATATACAATTACTACAATAAAAAAGAACGAGATAAATATTTAAGGTGAGTAATGCTGGTTGCTTTCACAACTGTTTACCGACTTATTTCTATTGCAGAATGTTGAGAATGCAGAAAAGGGTGAAGAAGCCGCCGTTTGTATTCGACAGAACTGATAATTTGGCTAAACCTAAAGAACTCATAGTACCGCCCAAAGTAAAGGTAAGATTTCTCACGCTGTTTATACAAAAAATAATCTGTTTACTACGCTATTTCAGCCGAAAACCAAGCCGCTTACGTTCAAAGATTGCCGGGATTGCAGAATTCGCAACGAGTTCAGATCGATGCCGAAAGAAAGGAAAACCCCGCCTGTCAACAAATTAGGGGTAAGATGAATGATTTTTGTCACAACTTAACACCGACAAATTTTTGTTCGATTGCAGATCGTGAAGAGGGCCGCCTTGAAATACATAATATCAGACAGAACGATGGCTTTGACCAAGCAATTTAAGAGATTCAAGGAGATATTACCGCCGCTACCATTGGGAAAAGTGCAAAGATCCGCGTTGCTCTACAACAGTAAGTGTACACTTTGGGAACCGTTTTAATTCTACCAATCTTTTACAATCTTCAGTTTCTGTGAGAACCGAAGCCTTGGCTGTGCCTAGGAAACGAATGGAAGGTGTTGGTTTGGACGACGAGGATTGGAATCCTTTCGCCGTATCGAAGTGGGCGTTGAGATATCGACCGACCAAAAGGATAATGGAATTGTCCAAGCCGCGCGTATACGAGCCTTGAGTCCTGTTCTGTAATCTGGTGCACGCCTAAATTAGAGTAGCGTGCACTTAAATCTCAAGGAATACTTAAACGTCAAGGAGTCACCGGTCGGGTGGAATGCAATTGGAACTTGGAAAGATTTCTCCAATTTACTCGAGCTACAGTTGTAGCTTTTAGTTTTAAAAAACTTGTAACGTAATGTAAGGTAACAAAGTAAACTACGTAACTTACCAAATTAAGGCAGTTTTATTTTGCAAACTATTGTAAATGGGGACTTTATTACAAAGCGATTAACTCGTCCAAACCTTAATAGCCCTGTAATTAGGTGACTACAATATTCTAAAATAGTTTCATCACAAAACAAACATTTATCAATGATTTATTATCGATTACCGTGCTATTACGTCAAGGAGGAAGCGCGTTAAACCCTTAAGCTGGTCGTTATCTCCGCAGGATTAAAATTTCCTTTGAAAAATCTCTTATCGCAATCCTACTCAAACAAAACTGGCTATATAAAAAGGGCCCAGGTTAGTCAACTCTATCAATTACCGAAAGTCCGAGTAACATTAAAGATGTCGAAACTATTCGTTCTGTTGTCGCTCGCTTACCTCGTCCAGGACATCTCCGGCCACGGGATGATGCTGGTTCCTCCGGGAAGGAGCTCCATGTGGAGGTTCAGATATCCCATCGAAGCGAATTACCAGGACAACCAACTCTTCTGCGGCGGAGCCTACGTAAGTGGTTACAAAAACTATTATCGGAAATGATGCAATTGTATTGATAAATGCAGGTTCAAAACGAATTGAACGGCGGTAAATGCGGCGTGTGCGGGGACAGCTACACCGACGCTCATCCTCAGGAAAACGAGAATACCGGAAGATACGGCAAAGGAATCGTCACCCACACCTACCAACCCGGTGAAGTCATCGATGTTGGTGTAGTTTTGACGGCTAATCACCTGGGAACTTTCACTTACAGGTATAATCAATTTATTACAGTATTATAGTACAGTTTTAGTACAGTATTACATACTTCCAGTCTGTGTCCCATACCCGATGTCAACGCTCCTGAGCCGGAATCCTGCTTCGAGAACTTGCTGCTGGAAGACGGATCCGCCAGCTTCACCGTGACTGCTGAAGACAAGATCGTTAAGAACAGGGTGAGATTGCCGAACATCACCTGCGAAAGGTGCGTTTTGCGTTGGACCTACAGATGCGGTAAGTTCATTAATTTGATGTCCAATGTGTGGTGGTTTACGTTATTTTCTTGCGCAGGTAACAGCGTGGGCGAATGCAGCGACGGACAATGGAGGATGGGATGCGGAATGCAGGAGCATTTCAGATCCTGCTCCGATATCGCTATATTGCCCAACAAACCGGCCGATGAACGTCCTTTGCCCGATTTCGATGTCGTAGCTAGAGGAATTTAATTTGGGTCTGTTCATAATGAATTGCAAATAAATATTTGATCACGCAATTATTTTTTTAATTAACCACCTATAATTTTTTTTTTCGTCAAGATTAAATTAAGTTTTCAAATCATGAATAACCCTGTAGTCACTCGTGCATATATCCATATGATTCACCCGCATACATGGGTTCTTATAGCGATCGAATAAGCAGGTGTTTGAATGACCCCCTACTCTGACTACAAGCAATTTAAAACGTAATAGAGGAGTGGTCACTTTTCTGTTCGCCAGGTAAAAACAGCGTTGCCGGCGTTTACTATTTTCCTATACTCGCCGAAAAGCGCCTTAGTTAAGGGTAGTTTTCCGAGTTAGTACCACAAAATTCTTCTTAACTGTGTAGATTAAAGAAAACAGCATGCTATTTCCTAGTTCCTGCCTATTTTACTACATTCTAGGATATTAATAGATAGTGATCAAACGTGTTTATTGGTGTCGTTGCTGTGGTGATGACCGGCAACGTTGTCTTGTTGTATTTATCAAGAATCTTCGCCGCCAAACCGCAACAATCGAGAGGTTTCTGTAGTTTGTTCTAACCACGATAGTGAACATATCGAAATTTCTTTGATATAGAAGCCCCTTATCGCATTTTTTGAAAGTGCAGCGCATTTTCAAAAACACAACAGAAGGCATTTGCGAAGAAATAGTAGTGAGTAAGAATTAATAGTAGTAGTTGTAGTAAACTTTCGATTTTAATTGTGTAGTTCTTGTGCTCAATACATAAGGTATAAAATTAGTGATTCATGTTATTCAGCGTTTAAATAAATTCCTCTTTGCACTTAATTTCTCGCATAAATTGTTATGCGTATTGTGCACTTTTAATTTTTAAGTGAACTACAACATATTTTCTAAAAAATTCGACCTCAAGTCGCAGCCTCGAATTAACAACTCGTACAATAAATTTATTGTTGCCGCAACGGATTTTTTAACCTAATTACCTAGCGAAATGTTCGTGACATCGAAGAAATAACCAATTTCATAATTAGCAAAAACCGTCCGTTTAATCAAATTAAATTTTCGTTATCACGTACGCACACTTTTACGGTTCTTTTTTCAGCGGATTTGGAAGGTTAAAAACGCGCTAAAAGAGCAATTTGCTTTATTAACAATCTCGCTTTATACCCGCTCATTTCTGGAATAATTCATTTGCAGATCCAAAATGGGCTGGGGTTCCAGGTTGGACGGTTGCGGTAACTGCATGAAATTCAGCCTTTTCGTCGTAAATCTGTTTATATTTGTAAGTACACAAACTCCACATCAATCTTCTCCTATCCATTCCCCTTTACATCCACACAAACATATTCTATCATTTGCAATTTACTGATGATTGCAGGTGGGAGGTTTGATAGTGGTAGCATTAGGAATTTGGACGATTGTCGACAAGTCTTTCGCAAACCATCTCCTTGGCACGAATTTATATGCAGGCGCCACTTACGTGCTGCTAGCTACAGGGTTACTGGTTACTTTTATATCCTGCTTGGGTTGCGTTGGTTCCATAAAAGAAGTCAGATGTATGCTAGTTTTGGTAAGTTACATTCACTCTCCAAACCCGCCATTCTAACCAGCTTTTTTCCAGTACTTTATTATACTGTTCCTGATTTTCTTAACGATGCTCATCGGAGGAATACTCGGCTTCGTCTTCAGGGAAAAAATAGACTACACCATTCGAATCGGCATGGAAAGCTCCCTCAGGGACTACGGCAATTACCAACCGGTCACCAACGCTTGGGATGAAACTCAAACAACGTATGCACATCAAACCAGCAGTATTCTGCTATTCTTAGATAAATGTTTCAGTTACAAAGAAATTGGTGTTTGATTGCAGGTTGAAGTGTTGCGGAATATACGGGTACAGAGACTGGGAGAGCAGGATACCGTTGTCCTGCTGCAAGCTGACGGCCAGCGGGATCCGATTGCCCTGCCAGAGCGTCGCCGAGAACAATCAGTTCACGATATTCGAAAGGGGATGTCTGGATGCTACCAAAGATTTCGTGAAGTCGCACGCGATCATCCTGGGCTCCGCAGGAATCATAGTGGCTTGTCTAACGGTAATCGAATAATGTTGATTTGTTGGTTTGGTTGGTGTATATAGCGAAATGTTTCAGGTACTGGGCATGATATTCTCGTACAGCTTGTACAAATCGTTGGAGTGAATTCGATTCAGTGCCTTTTCTTCGGTGCCAATGGAATTTTTTTGAATATTTCAACCACGCATTTGAGCAGCACGATGTACTTATTATACGAGTCTTCATAAATGAGTGATTCCCACGTGGCCTTAAAATTTATGCAACCCAAAATGCTATGATTTTCAAGAAATGTCCCTATTTTGAATACAAATCAAGGGTAGGTTTGGAAACACTGATTATAATAATACTACCCGATACTAGCGCCATATGTCGAGAGTCACATCATCCGCAACACATTTTCAATATGAGTATTATTATATTACCGTTGGTTGTTCATTATTTTTACCTATCATTAATTTAAAGTTATGTTGATACACAGTTGTCTTCGGGAAAAGCACGGGAAAACATTGACATTGACTTGATATTAATGACAGTATTTTAGTAACTTATTTTTTGGTACCAACATAAACATAACAAATTTACTACGTTCATTTCGAATTCGGTCACGTGGGAGTCAATCATTTATGAAGACTCTGATCTACTAAACGTTACCGAGAAATGTTACCAGAATTATTGGTAAGATATTGTACAACAAATTAAAACAAAGTAGAATTAAGTGTCGCACTCTGTATATTATACATATTTTTTTATAAATGTTTAGGTGTATTACATTATTTACATTTGTATGGTTTATACACAGGACTGTCTCATTCCTGACGGTTTGTGAGTATTTTACATTTACTGGTTTTTCCTAGATAAATTTAATCTACAAGTACAATTAAAATAATATAGGATCCCTCTAAAAAACTAATCGAATAAGATTGCACGTTACGAGATAAAAACGATTTAAAAAATACCTACGCTTATATAAATGATAATTATGATTTTAAAGATAAGATTTCGATTTCTATGATAATGTAGAAAATTGTTTGGAATTTTTACGTACTTAATGTGGCACCTGAATTACATACAATTAACGCAAAGGATTCACTATCTTCATATTATATTTAATTAAAAAAATAGTAACGATAAAAACTTCAATCTTCACATCCCTAACTACATTTAAAAAATAAATAAATAATTCATTCCTAACACACCACTCGGCTCTTCAACCGGCCGACGAACCCACAGCGGCGTTTCCCAAAAGCCTCGTCCCCAGCGTCGATCCTCCGAACAACGACGAAAACGAAGAAGCGGCTCCCTGAGAAACAGTCTTTAAGAAGTTTATGTTTAAACAGTGCATCAAATATTAAGTGCAAACATTCACAATAATATTACCTGCAAGGCTGTTCCGAGGAATCCGGAAATGGCTTTGGTGACGTTAACAGCGGCAGTGATCAAGTTACTCCTGACAAGAGAATCCGGGTTGTCGTCGACGCCCGGAACGGGCCGGAATCCGATCGGCGCTCTCGCGGCCCGAGTGGTGGACTCGAACTCGAACTCGTCCAGACTATTATCCGGGCTCGTGGACAATATCCTGGGTTGCCGCTCGGTGGTTTGTCTGATTTTAGGCGAGGATGTCGGCGGTCTTCGAGCAGTGGTGCCGTGCTCGCCGTTGGTCATTACCACAACGCCTTCGTCGTCTAGGTTTATCAAGCTTTGGATGCTCTTGATTTGGGAGAGGTCCAGGGTTTCTTTCGGGTTCTTCCGGATGCCTTCCAGTTGGTTGATCAGCTTTTTGATGTCGTCTTGGCTGAGGGCGTTGGCTACTTTGGAAGGAGCTGGGGTGACCACGGGTGTGACGTGCGTCGGTGAGTTGGCCAGTAGCTCGAGGTCTACTGGGGGTTTCTTGGGTTTCGTTGGTTTCCTGGCGGGTTTTCTGGGGGCAGGTGTAGTTGGCGCCAAAGCGTTCATCAACCAATTCAAGCCTCTCATGAGAGGTCCTGGTTGAGGTGTTGTGGTTCGAGTTCTTGCTCTGATTGTGGTTTCCTCGTAAATTCCCTTGAAAATACGTTAAATAGCGTTTATTTGGTGTATATGTTGATGAACTTACTGCTAAACTCTTCGGCGTCGGGGGTAAAATTCCCTGTTCTTTTAATAGGGAATTCAGTATGGCATCTTCTGATCTAATTGTGGTTGGTTTGCTCGGGGTCGTGGCTACATTATTTAGATTGAGCTGTTTGAGGACGTCGTTGATACTAGACGCACGATTGGGCGAATTGGTCGTTTCGACGTTGGGCAATTTATCTTGAATCGACTTGGGTGGTTGAGTAATATCAACCGGACTGGATGCAGTAGAAGCTTTACCTCTTTCCTGAGCCAAAGCCACAATCTACAAAGTCGAATCAATAGCAAATTCTAGCTAATACACTTCATCAAAGCTCACCCTTTCCGCTAGACTTTTGTTGGGATTTTTATTCGACGATTTTGCACCTCTATTACCGCCGAGTCCCTGAAACAACAACCGTAAACAAACCAAATAGTCCAGTATTAAACCTAGTATATTCACCAAATTCGTTAATAACGACAATTGCTGCAAAAGTTGAGCTTGTTCTTTCTCCAACTGAGCGATCATCTTTAAATTATCCCTTTGCTCCTTCGTCAATTCGTTTAATTTCAACGTCCTTTGCGTCGTCGATCCCGCTCTATCAACACTTCTCTTCGTACTAGTCGCAACTGCTGCTGGTCTAGCAGTCGTGGACCTAGTTGTAGTAGAAGAAGGTCTACTCGTAGTCGTAGTGGATCTAGTTAGTCTAGTAGTAGTAGTACGTCTGGTAGTAGTAGTAGGTCTAGTAGTAGTAGTAGTAGTAGGTCTAGTAGTAGTTGTAGTAGTAGGTCTGGTAGTAGTCGTAGGTCTAGTAGTCGTAGGCCTAGTAGTGGTAAGTCTAGTTACGCGCTTTGTAGTAGTAGGGATTGGTTTGGGGGTTGTAGTACTAGCCAATTTAATTGTAGTAGGATTTGTGGTAGAAGATGCGACTAGCATGGTCTCTGTGACGGTGGGTGGAGCGGAAATTCTGACGAGCCCTTGTGGTTTCTTGGTCGTTTTGGGGGTAGTTACTTCGAACAAATTGGGGAAAAGTGTGGTTATGAACGCCGGGAAATAAGTCGTCGTCGATATTGGAATCGGAGTACTGGTTAATCTTCTACCTTTAGTCGGTTTGATGGTAGTGCTGGTTGTACTGGTATCGTCCAATATTCTGTTCGATAATAGAATGTCTGTGGTAGTTTCAACCTGTTAGAAAAAGTAATTAGTTGTAAATTTTCTTTAATTTCTAGTAGCTTAATAGTACCTTCGTCGATGGAGTTTCAACAGTCGAAATCAATGTTGTAGCGGATGTAGTTGTAGTACTTTGTGTTGTAGTGGAATCGATCTGCAATATGATATAATTAATTTTATATTCAGATAATCTTCTGCTTGCAATCAAGCAATGTACATATTTACAGGATACCATTACAATAATAATACAGGGTGATTCTATAATAATCCGTATGAATGTGTAGCAGTCAAAATCACTATAAAACACCCCGTATATTAGATAATAACTCAATAATATTGTGTTATTTAGTATGTGAAGATATTTCTTTTACATTATTGTTAATCATACATCTATTTACATTTGTACAATGATTAGAGCATTAAAGCATCGGTTATACTGTTAACTAATGCAAGTACAAATTTATCCACAATAAAATATCTTGCCTTGTCTATTGAGGATCGTCTGGTGTAATTTTCGTCTTGCCTTCCACCCTTAATTAAATCTTGGATATTCAATACCTGAGTGTACTGGCGAAAAAAATTAAAAGGTACAGCTACTTAGTTTTCTCTGCTGAAACTTAACTTACCTTTACCGATTCGGGGTTAGCATTTTCTGTTTTATTAACGATCTCGTTAAAAGCTTCGACTATATTCCCGTTTAACAGATCATATAGCATCGGGAGCGTCCTTTCCGTGGCAGTACCGCTCGCGGTGCTGCTTTCTGTTGTTACCGTAGCTTCGCTAGTACTGCTAGTGCTTATAGTGTTTGGTGAAGTAGAAGTAGATATAAATTGTGCAGAAGTGGGTGTAGTACTAAGCGGTTTTGTACCCGTAGGTATTGTGTTCTGCTCGTCCTAAAAACGTGTGTATATTACAATAAATTTATTTAGTACTAACTTTTGGAATGCAATGTGAAAATAAAGAAATGGTTTTTGTGTATGTACATTTTCTACCATTTCGTTATTTCGAATCACTTGAGTTTAAAGCATTGTTATTTAATAATATGAATATTTAAACAAAATACTGACCCAAAATCCGGCATTAAACACAAAATTATTTACAAAAAAAATTATCCAAAATGTGCGTGTGTATACAGACCAAGCGTGCAACCATCACAGCTCGTTTTCTACCAAAACATATCCAATAGAAAACCAGCCGCAACTCAAGTGACCCAATCGAGCCGCCACCATTAAAATAGTTATTGACAAAAAATACCGTTTCGACAATTTTATTATCCACAGTACTTCCGGATTCGCTTGTTACTTGGTTACTGGTTATAACTGGCAAAGGCGGGGGGTTTTCACGTGTATCGAATCCCCTTACCCTAATGGTCATTTCCATGGGAACCACGGTTCCGTTCGGGTATTTTTTGACGACGGTGTTGTTCGGGTACACGCCGATAACGAAGAACGGAGCCTTCGGTACTATCGGCCGTTTGCGTAACACTGTGTTATTATTAAGTACGGCGAACACGAAATAGTCAGGTGTTGAAGTATCGACACTAACATTAGTCGCGATGTTATTTACAATTAGGGGAGTACTGGTACTACTACTACTAATTCTACTGCTACCTTGCATAGGACCACTACTTGTCGTCGTTTGAGCGGTTACGGTTTCGGCTTCGGTAGTGGTACTTTGTGCGGTAGTTCTACTTGGTATATTTACCGTGGTACTAGATAAGTAATCTTCGGAGGTTATTGAGTTAGATAGATCGTTAGCGGAAAATACAGAAACACTTCCGGGAGTCACTTCGAATTTTCGCAAGGACGGTAAAGTGGAGAATAGAGTGAAGAAATTTATTCCTTCGGTACTGTTTATACCGACTTCGGTCGTACTAGGAAATGAAGTGGTCGCTTCGCTACCAGTAGTAGTCGATTCAGTACTGATAATAGTCGATTCAGTACTGACTGTAGGCGATTCAGTACTGAGAGTAGGCGATTCAGTACTGAGAGTAGTCGATTCAGTACTGAGAGTAGTGGATTCAGAACTGATAGTAGTCGATTCGGTACCAAGAGTAGTTAAATTATTTACAAAATCCTCAGTTGTTGTTGATGGTGCAGTGGAAGTGGTGGATTCGACAGTAGAAAGAACCTCAGGAGTAGCAGTGATGGTAGATAGAGAGATAGTAGAAGGTGCGGAAGAAATAGTGGAATCGGAAGAAAAAGTACCGTAATTTACAGGCGTGACAACGACTTCGTCAGTCCGCCGAGTGGAAACTAATCCGTTCAACAAATCCAACAATCTACCGATGGTTTGCTTCTGCAATATATCCTCGGGATCAATCTCATCTAATATACTAAGCGGAACGACTGAAGTGCTGTCGAGTGCAAGAAGTGATCCGGTGGAAGACTTAGTCACACTAGGCAAAGGCGTGGTAGTGAAAGAGCTCAACGTATTAAAATCGGTACCTACTTGAACACCGGCAATATCAGTGGCTTGTATGGCGTTCAAGCTGCTCAGAATCTTCTCTATTATAGTAGTCGGGTTTTCGGTAGTCGGTACTATCGAATCAACAAGGTTCGTCTGCTGTCGCGTCTCGTCAGTACTGTCAATTTGTCGTTTCGGGGCCAGTTTTAATATAGCCGACGGGGATTCGGTGGTAGATGCCGTGATTTTAGTCACGGCATCCACCGAGGGCGATACAGTCGATCTAGCTGTTATCGAATTAATGATCCTTTCGATAATCGACGCCGGTTTTTCGGTGGTACCGTCGCTCACCTTCGGAAAATAATCGATTAACTGCTGGACAATTCGAGAGGGGTTAGTGTGCTTTACCAACGGTAGAGGTTTTGGGATCGAAGAAGAAGAATTTTGGTAATCCTCAGATACTAGGTTCGCAGAGCGTATAGCGTGCACAGGCACAGGCTCATCGATCGATATCACCTGGAGTCCTGCAATGTCCTCCTGGTGGTAGGCTCTCCTAGCGACCTGCAAGTTTTCAATCGGTCAATGCCTGTTGGTGCGATGGAGAGGAGTTGAATGAAGGATGATGAAATGCTGATGATAAGGAGATTCGATTCGATGAAGTGATGAAGTGACATGTGCGATTCGTTATTAATTTATATACAATATTAGCTGTAACAGTGATTAATGTTGTTAATATAACATTTAGATAAATTTAAGTAAAAATAAAAAAAATCTTCATTCTTGCTAGTGATTTTATTACCTACATAAGTGTATAAAAAAATAAAATAGCACACCTTTTCACTTAAAATTAAAAGTGTTACTACAACAAAAAGAAATTCTAGACAGTTTTTTTTCTAACACCTAAAGTATATACAATGTGTTATATGAATTAAAGAAAGTAATACCTACAAAAAATTAGAGTAGCTACAACAAAAAAAATCTACAAAAGCAATTTTATAAAAACTATACTAGTAAAGTAGATACTCATTACAATACTATTGCATCAGGTATAGTCACGGTTGTATATTTCTAAGGTCTGGAAACAGGTCGAAAAAGTTTCCAGTTATTTGAAAATAAAACAGGGTTCCTAAAACGGCCGTTGGAAGGGGATGTTGTAAAAGATCGCGATTTTTTGCGTACGAATTATATAGAATTAGCATTAAGAAAGGTTTTATTCAAACTAAAAATAAATACAAAATTTAAAAATATACTTGAATCAGCAATGATTTTGTTGTTATTAACATCATGCCTCACGTATCTTCGGTTAATGTATTTGTCCATTTTCTCCTCGAAATGTCAAAAATTAATTTTCGAAGTTTTGACAGTTTGAACTGTCGTTTTTCAGTAGTCAGAAGTCATTTTTCAGAGGTCTTCATTTAAACGGGACACATTCTCTAATGCAAAATCATAGGCTGTTTCCAGACCTTAGAAATATGGCCGTGGGTATAGTACATTCACGATAATCTAACGATAACGCCACTGCAGCGTTGCCACATTGAATCTTTTTTCCTACTACATACGGGATTTTGTTAAACCGGAAAATTTAATGTACTGTAAAGGCATCTACTCGGAAGAAGGTGCTACTAAAACGACATGTAGGCGATTTCCTATAGCGGTGTGGAGTGTCGATAAGAAGTAATAGAAACGAATTCGTCTTCAGTACGATTTTTCTAACCGACCAATCGAGCGTCGCCGGACCGAAGGTAGGCCTTGGGACAGAAAAAAACTCGATTGCAAAGCGATAAGGCGTACTATTTCATTTCGAATCGGCGCGATTTTCGAATGAATGGGCGATGGTGTTCGAGAAATGGAATGCACTTACCCCACCGGGCCTGCCGACGACGGGTACCGTGGGCACGTACGGCGCCGATGGAATCGTCGGTACGTACCTGGGGGCGTTCGTCGTGGTACCGCCTCGGTACTTTTTGAAAGCCTGCAAACGATTCGGAGGAATCCACCAAATTACTTCGGTACTTTGACACTATTTACCTTTGTAGACGAGCGATTGGTGTCCGGGTGTTTGGTACTAAAGGTACTTCGTCCTCTGTTCGTTGGTTTGTACGGATAACTCCTTTCCGGTTTGGAAATGGAGTTGTTGCTTCTGGAGAAATATTTGCTACCCTTGGGTACAACAGGTAGGGAAGTTGAGGCTCTTGCTGGTACTTTGCTCGAAAAAGAGATGCTGGTGGTGGTACTCGGTGGTCGCCTCGTCGTTGTAGAAGAAGGAATTAATTTGTTATCGTTCTATATTAAAAAAAATCTAGTGAATATACGATTTCCTATTGAAATAACCAATTTTAGAATGTCGCATATTGTATAGAGAAAGTTAAGTTTGCTACATTTAACAGGACTCGTTAATTGGATTAATTATAACTATTTCCTACGATTTAGCGAGTTAAATGCTAATAATGATATTATATAACAATTCGAGCGTTTTTGCATTGATTATGTACAGTGATAAAACAAAAATAAATAATTCAAGTTAATATAATTTCCTCTTAATACCGAAACGATTAAGTTAATTAGCCGGCAAAATTGGATATTACCTGTTTAACCGAGCCAGAACGCGTGGTCGGAGTCGCCACAGTGCTAGTAGGTTTCTGAAACGTCCACATTTAAAATTGCATTAAAATTGCACGAGGAAAATACATTTACACCGACCTTGTGTTCCTTCTTAGCTTTGATCAGCGCTTTAAACTCCTCCGGATAGTTATCGGTTTCATCGATTTCCTCGCTGCTTTGCTTCTTCTCCAACTTCACCTCCGATTTCTTAGTACCCCTAGAACCGGGCGCAACTTTTTGCTTGATTATCTTCTTCCTGGGTACTTTCCTTCTAGAAGTCACTTCGTTCACTTCCGACACCACCGATTCCCTTATCTGCGGTTTGAACGTCTTAGTAACGATTTCGGCGGTTGCAACTCCGGAGGGTTTCTCGCGATAAACCACCTTGGGCTCTTCTTCGAACAGCGGCAGCACCTCCAGCTTCCTCTCGTCGAACGCCGGCATCTCTCGCTGCCGGAACCTGCCGCCCCTCGATCGGGCCGCCGCCGTCGTTTCGACGCCGCGGGGCGTCGTGACGCGCCGGCCTCGGCCCGGTATCGGCAGCGTCACTCTGTCGGGCGACGCGTCGATTTTTCTACCCGTCCTCGAACGGTATTCTACCGTGGAATCGGCGTTGAAGACTGACGGACCTGTTCTGAACACGTCCGAAACCAATATGAAGTTTTGTAACAAACTTGAAGATCTTACCTGGGTTCGATGGAGGCGAATAAGTTATCGACTCTTCTTCTGAAAGCGCTGGACGGCACCGAGGTGGAGACTGATTGGAAGTAATAATCCGGTCGTTGCGTTGGTCTGGTTCTGGTTCTGGTTCTTGTGGTGGTAGAGACGGGTGCAGGTGGTTCTTGGGGTTTCTTCCTGAGCACCTTCCTTCGGTTGAGGCTCTGCTGTCTGGTGGGTTCCGGTGTTTTGGGTCGCGTTGTGGAGGTTTTTTGGATATCTTCTGATTGGATTTCCGTTGGAGTTAGAGTGTCTATGGGTGCTTCGGGTTCGGGTTTTAGGGTTGAGTCTGGTTGCTCGTCGACTAGATTTGTCGATGATGGAGATTCGGGTGATGATATAGAAGATTCCGTGACTTCTGCGGTGCGTTTGGGGTAGTTAAAATTTGTTTCTGTGTACACTCTGGGTTTTTTGGATTTTTTGAAAGGGTCCGGATCGTCGGTGATGATTTCCTCTACCTCGTAGCTCGGTTTCTGTTTTTTATTGACCGTCCTAGTAGGTGTTCTGCTAGAAAAACCAGCTCTCGCTGGTTTTCTCTCGACATTATCGTTCAGAAATATTTTATCGGCCGTCTCCGCTAAGGATGAGGCGGGCCTTCTACTGGGAATCGATTTCGGGGCAACGGATGCTCTAGATGCGAATTTCGGCTCGACATTTTCGACTACTCTTCGTCGCGAAGCGATGGTCTTTCTGGAAGGGAGTTCGGTGGTCGAAGAGGAGTCTCTCAGTTGAGAATACTCCGGGGATGCGACGAACCTGGACCGGCCCCGGCCCCTGGAAGGCGGTTTGGGCGATTCAGGTTCTGTGACGGATTTCTGAAACGCAAATGATGCTCTTGAACGTTGGGCGAGTGTGTGATTTAAACCTGTTTATTAGGCATTAATTGGGTAATAAAACGATGTAATTGTATCGAAAAGTGAGAGTTCTTCGCCTTGGCTTAATAACAGATAAATGTCAGGGCGCATTTTTTTACGAAATTCGTTCAAATGCCAAAAAAACCCGATCTCGGGTTTCCGGATTGTTGCCCAACTGGTTCCATAAAAAATATTTAAAACGACCACACCCTGTGAGATTCCTTGATTGATATAATACTAGTTTCTATAAAAAATATATCAAAACAGTTTTCGTTTAAAATTTAAAAACATCAATAGAAAATACTACAGAATAAATACCAAGGTTAGGTAATTAATTTGTATCTCATAAAACTTATCGATCGTAGTAATAAATTGATGGAGATAGATGTTAGTTTAGATCAAATTTATTACTAATAAGAACCTCATAAAAACGCTTTACAATTATCCTCAAGTATATTAAGAAGTTAATAAGTAGAATTAATACCACAATAAAATAAAATCTCATTAAATAATCCTGAATTATATAACAAAACAGAAAATGTTCATGATGTATTGTTATAAATCGATGGATTAGTACAAACATTTGCAGGCTAATTATTAATAAAAAACCGTTTCCTTGTTTTGTTCTTAACTAAATCACCCGGTGTAAAATTGCCAATTTTTTCAGTTCCGATACGCGATTGTTGAAAGTAAATCTGTCGACAATTTCATTGTTAAATATAACATAAAAGTTTTCGAAAAATTGATTTGTCGCATTGCAAAATCAATTTTTATGGGGCAACAATCTTTTCACATTCCATTCGTGTTTACTGAATGAGTAGTAGACAAATGTTCTTAGAACAAACAATGTACAATTTAGCTTTGAATGAATAATAACGGTAATAATAACAATATAATACCTAATAATAATAAATCACATAACCGAAGTGCAACGATTTTACATTCGAAAAAGGTCTAGTAGACCAATTTTCACCCACTGAAAGGCGTTTTATTTTTTCTTTAATGTGCATATTATTATAATCTTACGCCATGAACAATGAATATTTAAATGAGTGTCTTAAAGGTTTCTATTTGTAGCACATACAGTCATTTACTCGAGTTTATACAACAAAAGGCTCAAATATTTTTGACTATAAAATTGAAAAACTTTAGTTCAAGAGAGATCTACATATGTGATATTGGTAAGATAAAATGTGTTTGAAATATGGTCAATTCTATAAGTTGAAGAAAGAAAGATTTTTAAAATAATAATAATGGCATTTGTCTTTGTAATTCTTAAAACCCAATTTTTTATCTACAAAAATCTAAATTTAATGTTTTTTTCGTGCAAATCAAGTCCTTGCAAAGCGCATATACGTTGCGAAATTAAATAAATCCAAGGCGTACAAGAATAATTCTTTCAATTTAATTAGCTCGTGAATTAATTCACATATAAATTACTTTGTTGTCGTAAAGCGTTATTTTATTTTAATAACGATTTATATTCTAGTTTAATTATAGAACTAAATAAAATAAAAATGGCGTTAACGCTATTTTGACGCAAGTTAAATGACATTGATGTCAATGTTTGGCTTCTAAGTTTGCCCTATATCGGAAAATGGCATTTGACACACGTTAAAATAACGTATTTACGTTTTGAGCGCGTTATTTACATAGGAAATCCGTTTCAACAATGGGTACATAATAAAATCAATCGATTAGAAGTAGATACTGGGATTCTGGTTATATTTTAATCGCTTTATCTTGCACAATTTAATTACTTTATTCTAACTGTAGACAAGGTCGCCAACTCAATCAATTGGTTAATAATAATTGCTATATAAAGGTATTGTTATTCTATAATCTAAAGGAATGAATGTGTAGGTACTTTAGTTTGCATGATAAAGCAAAATTTTAGGGTGTACACAATTATCTCTTTATAAGTACCTAACTTTATTTTGAAATATGCAATTAAATATTTAAAGCTTAATTTTTCTTTGCCCAATTCAATTAAATTAAAATGCAATTATGGTCATTTCGTTTATCAAAAATTGCCTGATACTTTTTTATGCATTACTTAGGTACGCATTTAAAAATTACGAAAACTTAATTGGAAAATTGGATAAAACACGAAATGTGCGATTACCATGCTTTAATAGTGCTTATTTTTTTGAAAAATATAATAAAAATTGTGAAAGGTACGAAATCGCTTTAAGCATTAGTCGCTAAATTTCGTGAATTTTTTCTGACCCACATGCAAATAAATAGAAATTTGTGCATTAATGCACGAATAAAAACGCTCGATGAAAGATCGTTTCGAAGGCACTTATTAGAAATTTATGGCGTTTATATTCAAATATGCCGAATGTTTAATGCTTAATGGGAAAATACTTTCGAATTGAATACGGCTCGACTCAAATGTGATGGTGAATTATTACGCTGGAAATAATTTTATTATCAAATCGGAGCAAATAATTTAATGGAATCTGAAACGAGGAAATACCTACTGTGCAAAAATTATTAGTTTAATGCGAATATTATATAAAATATGCAAATATACATAATAAAATTATTTCCTCTTATGCTATAAAATGGATAATTGGTAGGTATATCGTTAATTAATATAGAAACTATTGAAAAAACTCATATCTAACGCAGTGTTCCAGGATAAACGAACATTCAACTATTTACCTAATTATAATAAATTATTCTAGTATTCGCCATTTACTTCACGTTACCCACAACAACAAATTTAACGACTATGACATAATTTACAATTTTTACAAAATAACGTTCATGTTATAATTTTTGCGGTAAGAGAAAGTATTTTTTACTCGCCGTAAAATCGATTTCTGTGCGAGAATTTTTCGGGGAATCCGTCATGGATCGACACGAGAAATGCCTGCTCACGAACACAAATATTACCTAATTTATTGTATTAACTTAATTACCGGTCATTCAGTGTAAATCTCCAACCGACGTTTCGGTTTAATATTCAACCCTCATCAGAAGAAAATTGATTTATAGTGGTGACTTATTTATGAATAGTGGTAAGTAAGAGTAGTGATTAATAGATTTTTATCTTTTTATGTATAATTAAGAAAGTGGACGAATTTTGTCGTTTTCAGCGGTTAAAATGTAATTGTAAATAAAAGTGAAATAAAATTGTTACTTACAAAAATAGCACTCATTACTTTGCCGAGAGAAAGCACCATTAGTTTGATGAGACATATAAAAAACTAAATGGAATAAAATTGTAGCAAGTGGCGTAATTTTATAAGAATGAAAGCAGAAATGGCTACATCAAAAATAATCTGATGGTGCTCGATCTGTAAATATTTAAATATTTTAAACTTTAATTATAATAATACTCTTCCACTTAGAAGGCATTAAACTCAATTAAATGTATATGTTTCAAACACGAATGTTGGCTAATAAATCATCCGAAGATGGATCGCGAATTTTTCTCGAAATATGCTTTCGATTTCTTATAATTAAAACGTCCTTTCTATTTTACATAACTCGCCGCAACAAAATATTGAATTACGGTTCGTTTTAATAGCACATATTTAAGACGAAACTTCAATTTATTTCAAATAACCCGACCAAATACTGTTGAGCAATTACCGGAAATTAAAAATAATTCAATTATTGCAATTATTTCTTTTTACAAGAAGTTTTTTTTTCTAACGACACTTTGACCAGTACACAAAATAGTCAATTACCGATTAATTACATGAACTGTTGCATGATTAAAAAATTAATTAAACTTTGAATAAGCCGAAATAAATTTCAACCTTGTATAGGCATTTAGTCGTTCCAGTAGATACTGTTATTGATATAAGAGAATGTAGTTCAACTCTCGTGCGTTATAGGATATAATTTTATAATACTCACTGCAGTTGTCCTTCGTTGTGCATGGGTTAATAGAATAAGTGACAACAAGAGAAACAGTAGAAGAAATTTCATCTTGTCCGTAATGAACCATTAGTTTGTCGGCTGAAATCGAGTCCTAAGGAGTCCACGACAGTTCTGAACCCTAGAAACAATAAACAATTCATGAAATTATCAAGGTCGCGCAAATTACGTATCTAGCTATTCCTACCGAGCTGTAGGTACTTTTGTTTCTCAATTGTATATACAATTTTCACACTAAATTGATAACAATCGTAAATGTCGCATGACTCCAATTACTTCAGGGTCTTTGCTTAGATTTTTCGATTAGACGGTTCTGTTAGAGTACCACCTTGAATCGGTTTCAAAAGATTGCAACTCATGCGTTAAGTACCGCATTTTGCTTTAACCGAAAGTACTGCCTCTCGCATTTGCAGGTAAAATATGCCTAATTGCTAATTGCGCTTATTATATTGTTATTTTAATCGATTTCGCAGACGCTAATCGAATACAACTTGATTCGAATTATAGTAGGAAAATTGCTCGTTGGTAGATATTTTTTTAGAAATCGTTGATGTAATGTTGGTATTAAAGGAGCGCAATTTATGTAATAAATTAATAACTGTGTATGTATTTTTAAAAATATCCTGAAAATTGTATATTGGGAGTTATTTAATTGCACTCGCGCTGGCGATTTAGTCTTCACACAAAGCACCTCGTCTGTTTTGCAAGCTTTTCTCTTAAAGTGCCTCAATTCTTCCGAATTTAAATCGTCTCTAATCTAATCTAATCGACACAAATCCGTAGCAAACGGAATAAAATTGTTAATGATTTATCAAGTATAGTCGACTTTCTATTTCGCAGCGACGAATTGAAGTATCAGTCTAATGCCTTCGAGGAATAAGCTTTTTTTTATTCGTTCGATAAATCCGTAACGGTGCTTAGTTTTTATATTTTAATAGCGTACATTGCATACCGAGTCGGTATTTCGTAACCGGCAATTTATAATTATTCGCGATTTGCGAGTAAATGATTTTATATACGAATTCGGCGCTCGATGATAATATTGCGTAATTATACTTTGATTAGTGTTGATGTTTGATTTAAATATTTGCATGATCTTTTTTATATTTCTCTTTAAAGTTTTATTAAAGATTTCCTTTAATTAGAACCTTCTTTCTGTTCGTCAATATAATAATTATCAACAGTTTAAAGGTGAAGAATTTGAATATTAAGCGTGTGCTTATAATTAAGTTTTGGAAATTTTTTACTACTTTTTTTATTGGACTTCGATATTAGGAAGTAAAAGAAAGCGCTTGGACAATTAAATGTTTTAAATGCTATCATACAAACGGTAGAAACTACGTTTATTTGAATTCAAATATTATTTTGGATCATTACTCGCTTATTCTTAGAGTCTACAGACTAATGAAGTCGAATTATCCGAGTTAATTGAAACGCGCAGAGAATTACAACGTAATTAAATTTGTACTGAAACATGCTCAATTATTCAGGTAAAACTATCGTTGGATATGCAAGCATTATGCTATTATGCAAGTGTTTCATTAACTTTAATGCTAATACGATGCGCTATTATCAATTGTGTTAGTTAAAAAAAGGTAATGAGGACTGTAATTGGGGGTAGGTCAAGGTATTTTTAAAACCTTAACTAAGCTTTACACAAAATAAGAGTTAGACAAAGTCGGCTATGGGTTATTTTTTGAGTGAAGAAATGCAAAATTTATTAAATAAAACTTACCATAATCTTCCTATGCCTTATCCTAGAAACTGTTAGCCAAATCCACAAAGTATAGAATAGTAAAAAACACCGGAATAAAGCACAACACTGGGAGAGCGACCGCCGCAAAGAAGGGATCGGAAAGCTCGCGCGCGACAAAGTGACAGAATAATTCAAAATTTCCGCGATACGAATCAAGAGTTAAAAAAAACTGTATCAGTTTCCCTCTCACCGGTCAGCGGTGGCCTTTCTCTTGTTAGCTTAGCTATCGACCACCTGGGTACCCCTCCAACACACCGGTCGCGGTGCTTAGGTACTCTTAAGAGTACCCGCCGTAATTGCGTGCATTATGTGCACAAGTACCAGCAAATATTTTTATCGAATAACAAAAACAAATTCTTATGTTTGTTGAATCAAAATTAAAGTGAAATTCGTGTATGCTTTCTTCCAATTCTTATACGAAATTAGCAAGTTATTAGCCTAGTAAAATATGCAGAATCTGATAAAAGAATATTTGTTCGAGCGTGTTAAATAAAAGGCGCGGGTGTCGACCGGCTACTCCTTAAAAAATAGTAGCGCTAAATTTCTTATCTTCGCAATGAATTACATCTAAGGACACAGTTGAATTGTGCGTTTGAATCGCAATGCAATCACGATCAGCGTTGGGCCGAGCGCAATTGGGTCGGGTGAAGGAAATCGAAAGTAATTCAAACTCGAGATAAAATAACGTAATGTAGACCACATTCGCTTTTTGAAATTTTTGTTACAGTAAAAACTGGTTATGGGTCGTGCTTCCCGTTAATTGGAAAACGTAACTGGTGCGCTGAAGAGAACAAATCCGCTCGGCTGTTTTGTGAATGGAAACTAGGCGCATCGGAAAATATACGCAGATTTTTTAAAACGAAATTTAATAACACTGTTATTCGAATCGTACGGACGTAGCCGATGGAAAGTTAGTCCTATTTATCGAAGCTAATATGAAATTATAAACGGAAACTAATTTTTATTCAAATAAACAGAATCAGAGAGCGACAAAGCGAATAATTTCGATCCACTTTGAATATACGCATCCAGCCCGTCGACTTTCTTTCATCGTGGACGGTTCAAAATTAAAGGCAACGTATGATTATTTTTTTTTACTTTCATTAATACGAAAATCTCGTACTTTTCATGGTCGGTAGTTTATCGGTCGGCCGATGACATCGATTTTATCTTGTTGTTAAAAAAATAGAGAACCCGACTTAATTCGATCATAATTATTCAAAACACGAGAAGAAGATATACAGGATTGTGTATACTTGAAAGTATTGCACGTAAGTACACAGCAATTGAGAAATGAGATTATATAAGAACTGTCAGGAGCTTGACATTGCAATAAATAACATAAAATAGACAAGAACATTTCCTTTAGTGCCTATATAAATTGTTTTATAATTATTAATGTTAGCAAAGGTAAAAATATTAGAACAAAAATATTCCTGTTTATCAACAATTTGTACTATTTACTTCATTAATTTCATACAGTGCTACTTTGTAATTGGTTTTGAGGTAAATTTATACCTTTCAATTTCACCCATTTGCAACTAATTCGTTCTGTTTCAACATCGTTTGTTAAATCCTCTCCAAGGGGTGCTGAGTTTTCGACATCGATATGTTCCCAGTCGTGATAAATTCCTATATTTTCTTTAAACCTGCAAAAACGAAACCAACAATTTTCTTGGCTCACGTTAGATATTCTTCGTACCTTTCCACGCCATTCCAAGCTATCATAACACCGTTATCGGTGCAAAATTTAGGAGGCGGCCGAACGATTTTATAACCATACTCATCGCACACCATTTTCAAACCACCTTTAATAAAATTATTGCAAGCAGCGCCCCCTGAAACAACCTAAAACCTCAACATAAGGAAAAATATTAGACTAGAATCAATCGCGTACCAAAGTTTGTTTATCAGGAGGCACGAGATTTTTTCTAGCAGCATACTCCATCGCCCTTTGCACCCTATGGCAAATATGCCTGGTAACCACGATCTGGAAACCGGCACAGAGATTGTAAACACCCGGTATAACCCGATCCGCTGGCACATCTAAACACACATAAGCAACTCAAAATGTATGTAGTATTGATGATAATACTAACCATGCAGAATCTCTTCTCGTTGCAGATGCAACAGTAATTGGTTTTTAATGCCAGAAAAACTGAAATTGCAATTTTTATATTGCTGCAAAGGTATGGTGAATTTGTAGGCTAGAGGATTATCAGCTTTGCGAGCCGCCAATTCCACGGCTTGTCCGCCGGATAGCTTCGAGTATTCAGGAAGGTTCTTCAGCTTCATTCTTCGGGCCACCTGTTAACGATTCCAGCGTGAAAGGAGCTATCGTGAATTGAATCGTACCTTGTCGAAGGCTTCGCCCGGAGCGTCGTCGAGGCTCTCGCCTAGCAGGAGAAATTTGTCCACTCTTTCTGCTACAGCTACTAAACAATGTCCGCCGCTGATCAGCAAGACGAGAAACGGAAATTCGACTGATTTATCGCACATTCGGGCCGTTAGAGCGTGCGCTTCCATGTGATGGATCGGCATAAATGGCTTGTCGTGCTTCCTGCATAAATACTTGCTGTATTTGGTCCCTATCATCAGCGAGAGTGGTAGTCCTGACGAAATAGATTTAGCTGTAAATTTCTACGTAGGTATCAGTGAAGAACTGACTAAACTATCGCCAGACGTCATCCTACATTCAGTGTCAAAGCGGCGACAACTATTTTTCTGCCACATTTTTTTACAAAAAATATAATCAAAATCATGGAATGTTTCAATACAAACTCGGAATTAGCGATATCCGAGGTGTTTCGGTGCTTCATTTGCATGGAAAAGCTCCGAGACGCCCACCTGTGCCCGCATTGCTCGAAATTGTGCTGCTACGTGTGCATCAGAAGATGGTTGATCGAGCAGCGGTCCCAATGTCCCCATTGCAGGTAAGCCAACGCCATAAAATCCACACCGTAACTCCACGATTCTTCGCCGTCAGGGCGTCCCTTCACCTGCACGAATTGGTGAACTGCCGATGGGTGGAAGAGGTCACCCAGCAATTGGACTGTCTCCAATCGCTGACTGGATTGTGCAAACAAAACGAAAGCGAACGCGACAAATGCTCGACGCATTTGGAGAAATTGTCCGTTTATTGTTGGACCTGCAAGTGCTGCATCTGCCACCAATGCGCCCTCTGGGGTGGTACCCATTCCGGCCACACTTTCAAACCCTTAAACGAAGTCTACGACCAGCACGTCGCTCAGATCAAGGACGAAATTGTCCAACTTAGAAGAAGGTATTTAATTTAAATGAACGCGATAGGAGATTGTTCGTAAATTTGATTTTTGCCTAGATTAATGGAACTGGTAAGTATAGTACAAGAAGTGGAGAAAAACGTGGATTCGGTTAGATCAGCGAAGGAAGAAAGAGTGAGGGAAATTAGAAACGCCGTAGATTTGATGGTATCTCGCTTGGATTCGCAATTGAAAAGCAAACTTTTAACGCTGATGGGACAAAAAGACTCTTTAACGCAGGTACAAATTCAAATAAACCATTATTATTATGTTGTAATGATGGATTAATTAGGAAACCGAACAACTGGAACACCTTCTACACGAAACCGAGCATCAGCTGCAAACGTGCAGGAAATCCGAACTCATTGCGAAAAGCGGCGATTTGTCCAAGAAAATTAATTCCATACGCAAGAAACCAATTACTAGTTTTGTGACGGCTCCAGTTCCGGCCGATTTCCACAGGTAACGAAGCCACAAACCCACAACTCTGTCACACTCTGTGTATATTTCAGCGAAATCGTCCCTCAGTACGACACTAGTACCTACGTGATGTACCCCTTTTCCGAACTACAACGAAAAACCGAACCGGTCTACTCGAATCCGCTCCATTGCAACGGCCTATGCTGGCGCCTCAAGGTTTCTAATCCCAATTCGAATGAAATATTAAATCGCTCGAAGTTCTTTTCAGGTTTACCCAGAAGGTAACGGCGTCGTACGCGGCAATTACCTGTCTGTATTTCTGGAATTAACGGCCGGTTACCCGGAGAATTCCAAATACGAGTACAGGGTGGAGATGATACACCAAACTAGTAGAGACCCCACCAAAAACATCGTGAGAGAATTCACCTCCGATTTCGAAGTGGGAGAATGTTGGGGGTATAACAGATTCTTCAGATTAGACCTGCTGGCTACTGAAGGATATTTGAATCTACTAAACGACACGTTGATGCTAAAGTAAGTAAGTTTCGGGTTTTTCTAACCAAAGAGAGTGTTAGGTGTATTGTTTTGAAGGTTTCAAGTGAGAGCTCCGACGTTTTATCAGAAATGCCGTGATCAACAATGGTACATAAATCAACTGCATGCCGCTCAATTGCAATACGCCCAAATCAGAGACAATACAGAAATCACTTTGGTTTCGAAAGCAATCGAAAACGCCGCTACAATACAAGGAGCTTTCAAAAATATAATCTGTAAATCAAAACTTTGTTGTAATACGCTTTTTTACATATTTAATTATAGCGCATTCCAACGAAAATAACACCGAATGCATGCCGTCCACTTCGAGGCAAGATACTATTGAAAAACGTTCCACAAACAACGTAACCGAACCCGTTGAAGACAAAGAAGCTGTTCGTACAACATCAGAAAACGAAAACCCATTACAATGCACTTGCAAAGTAAAAAAAATCTCCAGAACGAATTCCACATACAGCTCGAATTCGGAATCATCCATACAGACACAAGTAAGCTACCGCCTCTCGATTACCGATAACCCACTAGAATAATCGCAGGTGAGCGGCCAAAAGTCCCCCGGCAACTCTTCGACGCGCAGCAACGAAGAAGTCCAACAGATAATCGCTGTGGGTGTATCGTTGAGCTCGCCCAATCTGCTCAATTCCGTGTCGTTGATGCTATCGAGCAGCTCCAGCGAGAGCGACATGAGCGAACCGGAGCAGCTGATACAGGAGTACATGGCCACGCAGAGCCGCATCGAGTACATAACGGGGGACGAGGAGAACGAGAACGACATCGAAGGCATGTCGGGTGGGGACTGCGGCAACGTTTCGTGCGATTCCTACGAATGCCAGAACCCCGAGTCCGGGAACGTTGTGGCTGAAAAAGACGCCGAGACCATACCGACCAGCGAGCTGGGACATCAGAACGCTTCGATGGAGCACGGTTACATGAATTGACGAGCGGATATTACATTTATTATTATACAGTGTATATTTTAGTGACGTTTTATTTTTGAAATATACACATACCTGGTTTCACTGTTGCGGCTATGGCGTCTATTTCTTTGAATGGTATACCCGATGATTGTACAGCTTCGTTAACTACTCTCTCGATGTTGGCTCTGTGTAAATCTTGTGCAATAGGCGGTATAATTCCGCCGTTACTGAAAAATGTTTAGAATGAAATAGTACTCGATTAAGAAGGTGTTTTGTTACTTTAAATGCACCAAGTGCTGAGAGTGCAATGCTTCTCCTAAAATGTTTCCTTCTGAGTCTACTATTGCACAACCTGTGTCATCGCAAGAGGTTTCTATCCCCAGAATAATGCAGGATTTTGAATTGGAGTAATATTTCGGATTGAATTCTAGTAATGTTCTTCGAATCACTGGTGTACTCTTCCTGTATAACGTTTTAAAACATATTAAAGACATGGTAGCAGGATCTTCTGAATGACTTTTAATTTTAATTAATGGTTCTTCTCTAAAAAGTTAGAGTATATAGCATTTTAAAGCCTTTCGTGAAAGTAAACGCTCAATTTATTTTCTGAATATTTTGGCCAATTCAAAAATTATCTTAACCCTACTTCTCTTCTTTTTACGAACATGTTGTACAATGGTCCCTTTCTATATGTTAATTCAAACCCGTCTAAAGATCATCAACTAAACATGTAATACATAAATAAATATACATTGCAATATTGATGCACAAAATGAACAATAAATAGTACTTAACAAATAGTTTGTTTAATTCTTTTTATTTATTTATTTAAATTATTTAGTAGCTGCTAAGCATGAAAGGTGAAGACCATTTTAAGGTGACGTTTATTGTTTTGATTGGTGGTATTTTTGACATTTCATTCCCATTCTCATTAAAATAGAATAGTAAAAGATAAAATTGGTAGTAGAATTTGTGTTCGAAGGCTCGAAGAATATCTACCCTAGTCGTAGACGATAAATAAATGTCCTAGGAAGGAATTGCAAACATGATAGTATTAGTGCTGGAAAGACTAACTTTCACAGATAGGTGAAAAATTATGGAAGATTATGAAGATGAACCAGATTTAAATGAACAAATTTTTCACAACAATGTTAGAGAACAAATAGTAAGTACAATTACATCGCAATTACTTCCTCTTATTGTATCGTAAGTACCTACATCCCGGTAAATCGATTGCTTTTTTTTTATTTTTTATGCAGCAAAGTTTGTTGACTGCTAAACCTATTTACATCATTCACTGGAAAAGAATTTCTTTATCAATATTGATCTAAGGCCCAAATAAATATTGATTGATGATTTCTTTACTTTCAATTGCTTTATGTGTATTTAATCTATTTAATTATTAATTGTGTTATTTAACTGTACCTATTACAATCTTTTTTAACTGTATGGGTAAATGTAACTGGCAATAAATTCTTAAATAACACAAGAATTGGGGCATGACTATATTTTTTTTTCAAAAAAACTAATTATCAAATATCTATATAATAATAATAAATATAATAATTATAATTATCTAGGTTTAAAAAACCTAATAGTTGATTCTTTTATTTTATCTAGTTAATTGTTAAATTATCATTAATTGTTACATGCACTATCATTAATGAGTAAAGCTATTACCTAAGGTTATTAGTTATTTAATCTAATTAATATTTAACAAATTTACTACGAAAACTATTTATTATACTGAGTAATTTTATAGGCCAACAATTCATTAATTTTGTGAATTGGGTATTAAATTTATCAGGTATGTTTTAAATAACATATTAACTATTTAAAATTTCAGTTAATATTGAAGGGTTCATTAAAATTGACTTGGTATGGTGAATACGTTGGAAGAAATTGAGAAAAATATTTTTATCATTTAGCAACGTGATTAATACCGCAATTATTGTTGTAAATATTATTAATCGAGCAATTTATTTTTTTTATCGTTCATTCCGTTTTTTATAGTCCTTGCAAACGTATGAAGGATATGCATTCTTCATTTAATTAGCCGCTCCTTTCTTTGTTTTATTTTTACAATGCATGTGTGTCCTCATTTACAAATTTGCGCGTAATACAACTCTAGTTTAATCAATTGTGACCTTCGTCAGTAAATAAACGCTATAAATAGCAGGAAGATTGATAATAATGTTTCTAACAGATCAAAACAATTTAATCTCAAGAAAGGAAGTCGATTTTTAAATGCCATAATTAGTGGAATTTATAAATAGGTAGTGAAAATGGCCGTTTGTTTTTCAGATATTCCTTCTGCTTTTCATCCTCCTGTACCTGTTCAGTTTCGCGCTGTTGATTCGATTCAAACGTCGTGGCAAAGAAGATTATTTCAGCACCGACGAAGATGAAATTACAGTATACAGGATCAGCACTTGGCTGTGTTCCTTTTCGCTCGCCGTATCCACGCTGGCCGTTCTTCTTCTACCTATATCGATCGTTTCCAACGAGGTCTTGGTCAACTATCCGAACAGCTATTACATAAAATGGCTGAACTCCTCCCTCATACAAGGTACTTGTAGCGATGTTATCGATAATTTTGAATCTACTCGTGTAATTTTGATTGCAGGTTTATGGAATTACGTGTTCCTGTTTTCTAATCTTTCGTTATTCATCGCGCTGCCGTTCGCGTATCTGTTTACCGAGTCCGAAGGATTCTTCGGGCATCGGAAAGGCCTGATGGCCCGAGTGTACGAGACCTTCACGGTCTTGGGATTACTGGGACTCGTCGTACTAGGAATGACTTACGTTATATCTGCCGTTATTGACAAAGATAAATCTAGTATTCAAACTATTCTTAGTGAGTACATATTCGAATGAATTGATAATACGAAGCAGTTGTGATAATGCGAATATTTGCCATTCGTTTAATTGATTTGTGATTAATAGGTTTGTTTTTTTTGTATTGCAGGTTTTTGGTCTTATTATTTGCCGTTTTTGTACTCGTGCATATCATTTTTCGGTGTATTAATGCTGTTAGGTATGTTATTTGATCTCGCCACGATATTATTACTAATAAATCTCGTTTTAGTGTGTACACCTTTGGGTTTCGTAAGGCTGTTCGATGTGGTCGGCCAGTTCCTCGTGAAGCCTCGGTTTTTCCGCGATCTCAACGACGAGTACTACGCGTGCGCTTTGGAGGAGGAGTCGCTGCGCAGGCGATTGGAGCAAGCGAAGAAGACGAGCAAATCGTACGTGGATCCGGCGCCGATGACCATCATCGCCGAGACTCCAATGGCGGAGAAGGACGATTACAAGTTGCCGGAGAACCTCCTGCGGTTGCGCAACGGCGAATTGCAATCGGGACTGAAGGAAAAACTGGTCGAAATCGAGATTAAACGAAGCACGTTAGGTGCGTTGTCGGGTTAATCGATTTATAGACGATTTTAATGTTCGTTTTGTTGTAGATAAACAGAGGCAAACTTCGTCGCTTCGAAGGAACGTGGTGTATCCGATAGCGATGTTGTTGCTGTTGAGTTTGTCCGTTATCGCTGTTTTGTTAGTAGTTCAAAATACGTTGTCTCTATTAATCGGCATCAAAGCTCTACCCACCAGCTCGAAGGTATGTCAGATATAATTCGCTTTATTCGATAAATCTATTAGAAATCGTATTTTTTTTTCAGCAATTTACTTTAGGCGTAAGTTCTTTATCGAAGTTGGGACCGTACGGGGCCGCTTTAGAGATCGTACTGATCGTCTATTTGATCGTTACGTCTTCGATAGGACTGTACACGGCGCCTTGCATGAGGAAAATCCGGCCGAAGCTCAAAAGCACGCCGTTCAGCTTGGTGATCGGCAATTGCGCGCTGCTCGTCATCATCAGTTCCGCGTTACCTTTGTTATCAAAAATTTTAGGTGACTATTTTGGGTATATACGATGGTACGGGGTGGAAAGTTCTCGGCCTGATACTCCGAGGGCGCTGCCATCAGCAAAAATACTGGTTTCCTCTTTGGGACAATTGTAATTAATCCTATAACTGTCTAGAACCATTTAGAATGCTTCAGAAGCATTTAGAACTCTCTAGAACTAAATATTTCGACTTAGTAAGAAGAATAATATAATTTTTCAACTGCCTTTCATTGTCAGGTCGCGAACTCTTCACCTCGCCCTTATAGAGTCGATCTAACGTTGTTATATGTTGCAGGTATCACGAATTTCGATCTGTTGGGGGACTTTGGCAGTATCGAGTGGTTGGGCAACTTCAAGATCGTGTTGCTGTATAACATCCTGTTCGCGTCGGCGTCGACGCTGTGCGTCGTTAATAAATTCACGGCGAAAGTTCGCCGCGAATTGTACAATCGGTTAGTTGAGAACTACCTGTTTCTGGCTAACTGCTTCTCATTCATCAACTAATACTTTGTTAAAGAAAATAATCCTCGTTGTTCTGGCAAAGTTACGGCACTCGCGATGGTTTTCGTTTGGTAACTTTGTTAGAACAAAAGTCGAAGTTTGTATGCTTTTAGCACCTTTTGTGATTCTAAACGGCTTGTTTTGACGATAAGCACGCTGTTTGATTGAATACAGAGTCGAGCCGTTTGACTGCATTTAGTTTTTAGTTGTGTAGAATTTGACTTATTTATTGTGTATTTATTAGTAAATTACCAATGCCAACTCGCTCTGTATAATAAATAAGACTGATATATTATATCAAATTGTTAATGAAATATTAGGTGACTTCGATACCTTCTCTTGAAAGACTTTTAGGTCGAATGTATTTAGTCGCCTGGTACGTTGTTTATTGTTAATATCTTTCGATTTGTATGTGATTTATACGCAAAGAGTGATTGTTTAATTTTTTTTTGATTGTTTAATTATCTTACACTGTTTTGTCTTCGACTATTCCATTACATCGCTAATGTTTTAATATAGCCGTAGATAAAATTAATTTTGTTATAATAAGCATTCAGTGCCTCGTTTCCTACTAACGAATTCGTTTCATTAATATCCCCAATGTTGTTATATTTTTCATTATACAGATTTCTGGTCTTCAGCGTCAAAATCGAAAAACACCCGGTATCTGCTTCGAATACTCCTCGCCCGTCTCTCCAAAATTGTGAGTAAATAATAAAATGCGCAGAAAAAATAAAATTAATTGAATAAATACTCTTTCCATATATTTATTTCTTACTATCGATTTTTGTATGTACTTGCTCAATATATTGTAAAATATCTAGTCTTAAGTTGCGTTTTATATTGTACATTTTGTTAGTTTGAAGTATACAATATATGAAAGTAAATGTGATACAAACGATTTGTACGTTACTCTTTACAGAATGTAAGATGATGCTTTGAAATAAAACGATTATTCCATTACTAAAAATATTTCATTTATGCAAACTAGAAGATTAAGATTAACCCGAATTCCATCACTGTGACAGTGACGTGTTTCATTTAAAAAAAATCTCATTGTTTGTTGTCTTAAATTCGTCGTCATTTCATTATTGCATCATGCAAAAGAAGGAAAATTTCTGCGACCATAAGTACAACGTGGATTTCATTAACGCCGAACTCGAGCACATATCGAATAACATCGAGTCCGTTAAAAACCTGAAGACCAACACCATCGAGGAAATCGAAGCGTTAAAATTGAAATTGAGACATGAAAACCCTGCTCGTTGCGTCGTCAACCAAAGGGAAATTATCCTGGAAGAGCTGGATCAGTAAGTCCGAGACAAAATATTCCTAAAACTCTTATTGAAAGAACTGACATCACACCTAAATTGCTCAATTACAAAGTGAACTTTTCTTGTCAATGTAATTCCAATTGTCAATTTATTCGAAGTTCAGTCGATTTTATAAATTTTTTTCCAAGTTTATACTCTATTATTATAAAAATGACTACTAACGAAATAGATGTATTATTGAAAGAAATCCAGAAAGAACTGGACGATTCCGATAAATTATTGAAGACCATTTCAATCGAGGATCCCGATATTCCCGAGTAAGACTCGAAATTTCCCCTTCCCCTACATAAAGTTTACATCGGCTTCCCTTCAACATCGATTCATCTCGCTTTCAGGGACACCAGTTTGATACAAAACCGATGCGATTTCATTTGCAACGACTTGAAACGCCTCAAATCCTACATCGACGACCGGCTCATACTGATCAACAAAAATGACTTCATCATGAACCTGCTCAACTACAAGCTCTACGAGGTCGAGTTCAACTTCTCCAGGAAAATCAAACAACTGCAAGAGATCAAAAAGCAACTGGAAAACTCCGACATCAGTCCCAGCAACGAGTCCAAAATCGCCATGAGGTTCATCGAGAACGAGAAGAAGATCACCGATTGCGAGACCATGCACGAGCAACGCCATTTCAGCGTCAGGCAGCAGATGCTCGTCAGTTACTTCAACATCTAAACCTCCCCAGCAATAACCCAGTTTGTTATTGTTTGTTACAGGAGGCCCAGCTGGCGTACGAGAAATCCGTGAACATCTTGGACGAATGCGTGGACGTGATGAAGAAGAACTTCAACACGTTGATGGCGCTGATGTCGGCGTACAACGAGCACACGCGCGGCCACTCCAACTTGGAGAACATCCTCGAGATCGACGAGATCAGGGGCGCGCTGGAGAATTGCAAGCAAATGTCGTCGAGCGGCTGGCGGGAGGCGCCGCAAAACATCACAGGTAGTTTGGTTAAGAGTTTCGAGTGCTTCTGCTTGTTTGTACTGAAACGATGTAATTCACATTTAATGGCGAAATAAACATTTCACGAGGCGCTTCGCTGTCTTTTTGCGTTTGTTCGTTTTCGCAGATTTCGCTGTGGCTCACGGCTTGAGATTCACGGAGGACGGTCTGATGATCACGGAGAGCGGAAGGGAAATCACCTACAGCGAAGCGGTCGAGAAGAAAATGCTGGACAATGTTAAATTGGTCGATTTGTTCAGATCGCTTACCAACGTAGGCGTTCAAGGGGAAGCCGCATCCGAACATCAATCCGAAGGTAAGCCCAACAAACACATTTCACGCCGTACAATTTACTTGTTATTGTAGAAACCACTACCAGCGAAGAAGAAAAAATGGTATCCGAAGATGTTTGTTACCTCAAAGAATGCTTGGGGGTTCCTCTCACGCTCGCTTTGGCCGAAATAACTGCAGTCCAACCGAGAGACCCCATCCATTACCTGGGCCATTGGTTGTTCAAATACCGCTACAACGAAGAGATGACGGAGAAGCAAACCAACGAAATCAACGAATTAACTAACGAACGCAACCGCATAGCGCAAGAAAAATGGGTAAATACCTTCAATTTGTACCGATCCGAGAGAAATAACGGCCGGGTTGTTTGTTAGAAAAAGTTCCTGGAAGAAGAAGCCAGGGCGGCCGTTATCGATATGATTGTCAAAGCCGAAGAAGAGGCTATCCGCAACGAGCTGAGGCGAATGGAATTGCAACTGGCCGAAGCGGAGGAAAATTACGACGAGGAAGACACCCAACCGTCTATAATGATGGATTTCTAAGCAATCCCACGTTCGATTCGATTCAATTTGTCCTGTTCCTTATTGAACGATATGTGCGCTCAATTAAATTGAAATTCACGTTAATAATAATTTTTTATCGAATTAATGGTGTGTTATTTCTATTAAAGGAATTCAGAAGATAAGTAAAAAAATACACTAAATGGTTCCTTTTATTTAAGTAAGCGATAGGATCAATAAACATTTGGATATTCATTCTAACGAAAAAGAAGAGTATAAAAATGGGTATGAATCTGTCGAATCAAATGTATATTTTCTTTTGATAAGAAACTTCAATTATATCTATCAGTGGTTTTGTGACAATGCCGTATTTCTCGATATGCGGTGTGCCCAATTGTCCAAATTTCGCGCACGCGGTGTTCGTCGCCAATTATCTATCCGAGAAGCTGCCGAATTTTTTCTACAAGAAAATCGAGAAAATTCCGCGGGAATGGGCCGTAAGTAGGCGCTTGCTTTCCGGCTATACGCGAACGCTTCGATAATCCCGGTTTCAGGTGTTTCTGGACGAATTGAATAGAGAGAATAAATGGTACACGCACGAGAGCCCCGTCATCTGGAAGGAGCTGTACCAATGGGGCGGCACGAAGTACCTCATCGGTGGTCTGAGCGAATTCTGGGAGCACGTTTACTGCTATTACGGTTTGGAGTCGCTTATACCCAAATACGCGCTGGATGAGTTAGCTTTGGATAATTTGAGAGTAAGGAAATTGCTTAAGGCTAGTGTTCAGTACTTTGAAAATGCTGAAAAATGCTGTTAAAATGCTGAAATTTCCGCGACCTTTTCAGGGAATATTTTCAAATATTTAAATGTCAATGAAAGTAGAGAGAACATTTTGGGCATAAAAGTAGAGAGAAAATTTTGTGCATAAAAGTAGAGAGAAAATTTAGTGCAAAAAGGTAGAGAGAAAATTTGTGCATTAAAGTAGAGAGAAAATTTTGTGCATAAAAGTAGAGAGAAAATTTTGTTGTTTCTTGATGTTGCGTTTAAAATTTCAAATTGTAATTAAAAGTAAAGACTTTTTTTACCGGAGTAATAACGGTTAATTGACGATTGCAGTTTTTCGCCGACAAAAGAAGGAGCGAAGCCAGAAAAGTCAAAAACGTGGCGATTTTGGGCGCCGGGCAATTGAATTCCGCGATTCTCATACAAGATTTGCTGGAGATAAAAACCCTGAGAAAAGGCGGCGTCCACCTGGTCTTCAAGCTCTACGACCACCATCAAAACATCGATCGCTCGGTGTTCCAGCACTTGAACGACACCGCCTTGCACTTCAACTCCACCAGCTTCTTCGGCGACTTCAACCTAGTGGAGCTCTATTCCAGCGCCGAAGACGCCATGGCCGACTCCGACATAATCCTCAACCTAGACGATTACAAGTAACCTGCAACCACAAAACATTCCAACAATCCGCTCGATTCACCGTACACTCCACAGCCCAAAGGACGCGGACTTCGGCAAGCACATGAACCGCTGCACCATCAGAATGAAAATGCTCGCCGATCACCTCCTGGTGGCGGCGAAGCGCGACGCGAAGATCATCTTCGCCGGCAGCGGCCCGCTGTGCTACATGGCGACGGCGCTCTCGAAGGCCTGCTCGGAGATGTTCCCGAACATCGTGGTCATCACGGCCGATAAGGGGTTCCCCTTCGTGACCGCCGCCTCCGAGGAGACCGGCATAGAGATCCACAGGATCAGCGCGCCCGTCGTGTGGGGCAGCATCGGAGTGAATTGCTTCGTGGATATCAGGAATGCCTTCTTCAAAGCCGACGTCTACCGACCCTACAGGTGGTAAGTCCTAATCATTACAAATGATTTTTTTGTATAGTAAAATTTATGAATTCGATGAGTTTAGTAGTTTAACGGCGCCGAAGGGGTCGACTTTGCCGCTGGGGGTGGTGTCTTCTGAACTGAGACTAATGGGGTATAAAATTAAAGACGCGGGGGTGATTGAAAGGAAAGTTAAAAACAATACGGTAAGTTTCACTTGTATTATTATTTCGGTTACAACTCTAATTTTGCAGAAAAAAATGGAAGATCTCATCGGTAGGGCGTCGTTGTTCAGTAAATTGCGAGCGATAGGTTTGCTTTTGAAGCTCTGGTACGCCGACGAAGTAGGCGATGAGATCATTTCGTTGGGAGTACGATCGAATGGTTAGTTTTTTTCTACTTCCACTATAATAAAACTTATAGAGTGAGTGAATGAACTATTTCCAGGCTCTTTTCACGTACCTAAAGGGATGTTTTTCTCGCAACCGGTGAAATTGAGCGAGTCTAGAGTGTGGGTGCCTTACTCGAACTATCCCCTGAAGGAGAAGCAAACGAAAAAGCGTATTAAACAGTGCATTCTTCACGCCAAGGACGTTTTCGGTAATCTCGGGATAATGTACGATCCTGACGATGGATTCGACGAGGATTGGGACGATTATTCCAAGTATTTAGGCGAGATTGGCGAAGGCGAAGAGGAGGAAATGTACGAGTAATTTCACGTAGGAAAAAATAAAAGAATCTTTTTATTGAGATCAATATACAACTATTTACAATATAAAAAATGGAATTATATTAATTTATAGGCACTTGCATTTGTCGATGTTAATTGTTAATTCGAAGATACATTATTTATTTATAAAACTATTTTGTACATATTCAACATCACTTTATTTCGGTTGGGTAATTACCAAATTTCATCTCGAAATCATCATCGTATTTTAATCAATTATTGTCAGATTGCTCGATCGATCCAATTAAAAAAAAATTTCAGTCTTATCAGCTATCAGTAGATCAGCGAAACGCGAAAATGGATTGGTAAAAAAAAAGACTCCGCTATATATCACATTAACTAGTGTCAAAATAATCTTAAATAAATAAGGAACTGTGTAAAAATGTACATACAAACGTAAAACAATAGTAATATTTATATGCTCAGCGACGGTCTCTTTTTGCGGTCGCCCTTCGAATTCTTGCCGAAAATGTTGCCTAACACCTTCGACACGCTGTTGACGCCCAGTTTCCTCCGGATCGGCAGCGCCTTGAGCAGCTGCACCGACCTCGCCTCCCTGAGGAGGGACTGGAACGCCAGCGAAACGCCGGCGAAGTTCTCCGCCGCGCTGACCTCGTAGAATTGGCAGCCGTAGCGCAGCGACAACTCCTGCCCGTCGTCCACGCAGATTTGCCTGGAAAATTAATTCGAACATGTAGGACTCCGAAGTGGGCATTCCCTGGCTCTTCTCGTATTTACATTACGCAATTAATTTCGTTTGGTTTATTGGCAGTCGTGACGCACGTGTAATTATTATTATCTCTTGCAGTACAATCGCTCGGGCCCGGTGAAAAAATTACGATTTAAATAATGTCAATAGATTTAAAGTTGGTCTATTCATTAGCGATTCACTGTGGAGATTATGCAATGCTTGTTTAACCGATTTATGCATTCACTGAAGCTTAAGCCGGTAAAATAAAAATGCTCGGTAATTATTTAACAAGCAGGAATAAGATTTATGAAATGATTTGAATTATATAAGGATTGGTTAATAATTCAAAGAAAACAAATCCAGAAGTGGGATAAAAAAAAGGTAAACAATTAGCAAACAATTCGAAACTAAGCAAGATTGACGAAAAAATCGAATTTCACATATTCGAAAGTGGAATGTTTACTTCAATCGAACTGACAGATTTTTTTTATTTTTTCTTTACATTGACGCGGATAAATCCACTAATACCTGCTCGTTTGTCTCGTTTTACCCATGCAAATCGTTCCGATTGCTAATTAATGCGGTAATTGACGCTCGCATTGATGGAGAAATTATTATCGAACGATTTTATCGGTGCGGATTTGTCGTAAAAATGCCGCACAGTTCGACCGGAATAACTGTAGATGTGACCTACGCGAACTTTACCATTGCGCACCACGTTTCCAGCTATCCCTGCCGCTCTGTACCAATTATACTATTTCCTTATACCTCGAGTGGTCCAAATCCCTTTTATTTCCTAGCAGCAGACTGGTATAGTACGATGGTAGTTTCAATTTAACTAGTTGTCCGAGAATTTCCTGGGCTTCGTGAAAACTGTGCTTATCCACCACCGAGTACACGATGACAAACGCCTCGCCCCAGCGAATGTGCTCATAAAGGCAACCATTTTTCTGAAAAAAAAGCCTCATATAAAGCAATAATTATGTCAAAAAGTAACACCCTATACGGGCTTTCTAATAATGATTAAAAGCTAAACTATAATGAGACCATTAAAGCGATTTTCTTTCCTTCTGTTTGAAGAGAAATACAGACCACAATAGACCGCTATGATTATCTTCTTATTTTATTTTACGGTGGCATCTTGTTAACAATTCTCTACATTCATCGGATACGGAGCGCTATTTTGTCCTAGTATCAACTTAATTAAGAGACTCGACGTTATCACAACGCATTTACCTATATCTATTAGGTGGAAGCGAAGGTACTTATTGTTCTGAATCAGCGTACGGAACTGACTGCGACCGGTACTCTCTCGCCGTTGATTTAATATCTTCAAACAACAGCCAGTCGCATTGTGCTGCTGATGAATAAAATGTTTATTCGCGTTTAATTGTTGGTATACAGCAGGAAAAATGCAGAAGTTAAAAATAACATTGTAACATAAGTTATAGCATCTCTATGTATGATTATTTGTTTCCACCTTTCTCTATACAGTCTTCTGTTCTCACTATTCGAAGGGTGTAATTGTTAACAAATATAATTATTAAAAATTGTGTTATCGTTCATTTCTTTGCATTTTCAATCCATGTAACATAACACTGAGTATATGTTGTTGTTTTATTGATAGCGACAAATACAAGTAAGTATCAAGACAGCATCAGCAGGTACCGTACTTTATTAGACACCGAGCAAGTAAGTTCCTTTCATGAGCAAGTCGTACTTTCAACGAAATTTCATCCGATCGTGTAGAAAGTATTTGCGTGAATTTTTCGAAAACCGCTTTAATTACACAACGATTTCGTATAGCGGCGAAACCATTAGGTACTGTATACATCACATAAAAATGAACGAATAGAAAAAACTAACATCCGAGAGGTCTTCGGTAATCGATCATGGAGATCAATCAAAGCGTTTTTACGCATCTCGCCGAACCGGAAGGTTATTATAATGAAAACTACTGTAATTAGACAGAAAGCTCCGCGGGGGGTAGGCAATTACTTTCTGTTAAACGTTAAAGGCCCGCAGAATTACGATCCGTAAATTTCGAAGCGGGGGATAAAAAATCTTTTTCCGCGATAAGTCATTCGTATGCGAGAGATTAATAAACGTTTAACGATCCGGTAATAGCGAAACGTTATAATAACTTCATTAACAGGAATTTTAATTTTCGCGAAAATAATTCTGGTATAGGTTAAACGATTTTACTTGATCCGTAGATTATGGTAAATTTCGATTATATACTGGGTGTTTTGAGATACACAATGCATTATATACAGATTGCAATACAGTTGTTTTCAAGTGCAATTTAGATCTAACGATTAGATTTCTACAATTCTACAATCGTTCAGTAGGAGTTGAAGCGATGAAAACCATCGATATAAACGTTATATGCGTATGTAGATAATTCTATACAGGGTGTACCGATTCGTAACGAACATCCGTTTGATATAATGAAACTACAAATTTTTTTAAATCATTTTTTATCGATCGGAAACATCGATTCGAAGCCGTTGGCTCTCGAGCAGGGCTTTCGATTAAAATAATCGCGGCCCATCGGTAAATTATCCGTACGTCTTTGTAATTTTCCTCGACCGCCTCGGCATCGGTACGATGTAATGAGACAATTTTTTTATACGTTTTCGATTCCGCAAAAAAACGATCGGACCCGATAAGCCGGCCGGTCAGAGTTCAAACTCTGCACTCTCCTTAAATACGCCGACTTATGTCCCGCAATTATGGCGCTATAAAGCTCGTTTAAATCGACTTAAAGTGTTTTACGTAACGCTAAATCGTAAAATACGAGACGAGGAATTAAAGGGAATAAAATAAAAATAAACACCGAATGCAACGAATTGTTTAATTTAATTTACGGTATCATCAGTCCCGACGGGTGGTCCTGCTACTTTCGGATCGATTTATTACCCCTTAGTCGCGTCTAAATTCCATTTAAATCCACTCCGGCTCGCGCACGGTACTCTTTTCTCGTGTATTTTTTTTTCCTCTCCCGTTGGCTTTCCGGTTATCTCTTCATCGATAACAATTCGACGGGCGACGGATGACGGGGCATTCGACACGTCGGATCGATTTGATCGAGCCTCAGATCTCGATGTTCGATTGCCCGGGAAAAAATCCGACAGGAGATCGAATCAATAAACTGGTATTGGATTCAACGATATTAAATTATATTGTTCGGTGGGTAATCTTCTATATTGCGGGTAAAATGGTAAGCGGAGATGTCTATTAAATCGATTCTTTTTGATGGAACTTTCACCGAATTCCGGTACCTTGCGTACTGTTGCATTGAAATCACTACTTGATTAATATATCAGGATAAAGCTAATAAACAATAAGCGCGAGTGAATAAAAAAACGATTCGGTGTTAATGTAGCTTTTAATTTCGATTCCATTGTGGTTAATCGAAGATTTTTACCGTCACTTTCTTTTGCAATTTCTATCGATAATTCATCGACATCTACAATGAGAATATAACCAAGCTTAAGTACGTTTAGTATCTTTATTTATCGAATAAATAAAGGCTCAGAGCCTCTGTAAAAGGCGTTCATAAAAAAGTTCAATCATTCAGAGCGGTTGTGAAAACGTTAATAAACGTGGAAATCATCGATCAATCGGGGAAACTCGCATAGTAGTCGCCACATCGACGCTCTACGAGATAAATTAAAGCTCGCCTCCGCAACCTCGGCGACTTTAACGATTCATCCGCTATTTTACGGCCGGCCCGTACAAAAGGCGAAGAGAAAACCGAAAGCGGCAGCCAGCCTCGCTCCTCTCTCGCGGATACATTTCGTGAATTATCGGGCGCGAATTAATTTATTTAACGATTACGGCCCTGCGTAGGTAAAATTTCGACGCCCCGCGCCCCGCCCGCGGGAGGTATTTATGAAATTCGAGCGTCGGATTTATTAATCGGGTTTATTGTAACGGTATTTTAGGCATTTTCTCGACGGTAAGCGGCGTTTAATTAAAAGAGAGAAATTTTACCCGGTATACCTATACCTACACGCTACACGTGCATAGGTACAGGAATTCTTCTTCTTTTTTATAGGAGAAAGTGTAAATTCTACTGTTCTACCTAGTTTTTTTTTGCTTCAAAACTGTTGCCTATTCAATCTATCATATACCTCTTCAACTTCACTTATTTCTTTTGAATCTTCTACATCTTCATTATCTTCTATTAGTACCTCTTCAATCCCTTCAGCTATACATCTATCTTTGATATCTTCCACTTTATGAATGTTGCCTATTCAACCTGTTCTATCCCTTTAATTTCATCTACGTCTTCAACCTCTTCAACCACTTCTACATTTTCACATTCTTCCTTCTCAATTTCCACCTCTTCAAGTAACTAAATCAGCTCCATCAATCTATTGAGTCTAACAATTAGTCTGTTTTAAGACATTCCTCACCTTCTTTGAACGTCTTCATCGAGTATCTCCAAGAGCTTGATTCGAGTTCATGTTGTTGTGCGATTAGCACCGGCCCATAAATCGATAATTTCGTAGATAAATCCTCATCTTTTTCATACAATGCGTGCGATGGTTGGTGGAAAGGAATGAGAGCGCTAACGCAACGGATCTAATGCAGTATATGCAATTTGTGGTCTACCACCTGTCAGCCGGAATGATTGGTGTATGACAAGCTGGCGCCTGTATTATCATATGTAATTACACTCGACTTGTGTGTAATAATTATTACGCAAACTGGTAACAACATCGATGGTGTATGTGTGTGTATTAATACGCAGATCGATTTACACGTTCCAGGGTAAACGGGGAATTTGATTGCTGATCGATTTTGAATACCGAATTTCGCGCATAAATACGCCGGTAATTAAATGGCATCTTTGCGAGTACGTGTGACGGAAGAAAAAAATTTTTAAATTAGGGTATCGATGTTGCGAAATTGCATATTAAGTGCACTTAAACTATAAAGTGATTGATTTCATCGGCGCACCTTAAATTCGCGCTAATTGGTCGATTTTATTCTTTAATTATTACCTGCTCGCGAAGGTGCGTTCGAGGAATATTAATGCATGTAATAAAAATACTAAAATATAAATTTATTAGTTAATTTCGCAATCGGAGCGGTTCTGTCGACTTTAGTATCATCGACAATTCCAACAGACGATAGAAGATTATCTTCGACGAATAAGCGGCGATTTAATAAAGTTCACGTTCGCTCGGGAGAAGCGGAAATATAAAAAAATATCCAACGATTCCGCGAAATAGGAAAAGGTCAACGCTACATAACCGACGATAAGCGCGACCCAAGAAGATGGAAACGAACGAGAAATATGAGGTTGACATTTCCAGCATCGGCCGTTTATACGCGATCGCTTCGGTTTCGTGTCGGCCTTTTTTTATATTTCGAAAGGTGCAAACTCCGGTGTATGTGTGTGTGTAACTCGCAATCGGATTTGTATAAACTAGACGAGCCGGAGCGATTCGGATATACGTGACTATCCGCACTATTTATGGTAATCTCGTCTCTGCTCGATTTTCATTAGCGTAGGACATTTTAATTTTCATTTGCGTCCCGATCTATTAAGAATGGTGTAGAGAAGGGTTTCCTAAAGAGGAATGCCTTCAACCCCTTCATTAATTATCAATAAAAAATTCAAAAATGGAAACAAGAAACATTTTTTATGCACGAATTTAATTTACTGAACAAAAAATCGTTCACAAAAGGCCGAAATGCAGCCAGAATTTTGGACCCAAAATTCCCACAATGCGTCTAGTTGAAATATATTAATTCTTTTGGTCCAATTAAGCATCTATTCGGGAGTGATCTTATTTGCACATAGAGCTTACTGGAGTTATCTCCGGTGTGGAAATTTTTGAACATAATTGCACTTAATACGGCATAGTGGTTTATTATAGATAACAATTCTACCTAAAGCTAGAAGAATCTACTGTGTGCTAGAACGAACTAATATAAAACAATAATAAAGTACAATTGTAATAATTGTAATTAGCAATTTTTTAATCTTCTATTGAGTTTATTAATTTAAAAAATCCAACTTATCTATTCATTATTAGAGACTTTATAAACAGCACCTGTATTATTCGATTATGCCGAATCCGGCAGTCGATATCGCAATGAATATTAAACGAATGCTAATCGAAACGTTATAATTACAGTAAAGCACTTCCTATGTGTATTACAATTAAGCTAATTAGACGGCATTTCCTCGAGAATAACATTATCGTTGTAGCAATAAAAGTTTACGGGCAATTTATGTGTACCCTTCGTGAATGAATAATGTCGCGACGCTGCGCATCGACGTTATCTCCAAATGTAAAATTGCCGTCGGTCGGTATATAATTCACGGCGTTTCGCCAATGATAGTAATAGTATGCGACTAGGAAAGTGCGAACATCACGATTACTCCATCTTGGGCCAATACCATTCGAATCTATTAACATTCCCGCCGGTCATTTCATAAAACACATAAATAGTTATGCCGCGGATCGCGTAATGCATGTAGCACGTTTCAATCCCGGTGATAGGAGTTTTCCTTTACGCCATATCTCGATCGGGAAACTTATTTCGTACTGTTTTATTTTCGATTTATCCCATGGAATGCTCGGGTTGAAGAGGAAGAACGAGTTGAAGTGGTATAGAATGAGGATTGAGGAGTATAGTGTTTTTGCTCGTTTTGGAAAACTCCGTTCCGTTCCATGCGTTTGTGTACCATCAGAATTTATTCGATGTTAGGTTGAAATTATTTTAGAAAGCCGTCTCCTCATGGGTAAAGCACTACGGGGAAATATAACATAACTTTGTGGGTGGTATTCATAGTCGGTCGCGTTAGGAAGTCGACTGTGGAATTTCGAATTTGTATCTTGTTACGGAGATATTTTATACACACATAAGGCGTTTACTCGGCTAACCGTTATGTCAACGTCATCCTTCATTTGTCATTAGTTACCCGCGCTTTATATGTCATTTGTCACTTGCCTCCGTGAGGCCAAGCAGTTCAAACATGTTGCCTTGGAGATATTACCAACAATTCTTCCACTCATACATTCTTTACGATGCATTTTTTGTAGTGAAACGGCACTTTTTTGTACTTATTGGCTCGTACTAAAATCCGCTCGACGATAATTGCTTATCGCGCGCATTCGTCGGGGTTCTAAATAAAATTTTTCATCGTTTGTAATAAGAACAGTGCTTATTTGTTGCTGATTTTATCGACGAAAGTAATAATTCTCTCGCGGTCGACCAAAGGTAATAACATCTTCTTTAATACCATCGCATATTGGCTTTTAATGACCACCAACCGAAGAAATACCGGGGGCGATGAAAAATTCCCATTTACTATATACTCGAGCTGTTATCTCCTCTACGTAGACGTATTTACTGCGTAAAATAAAAGTAGTGAAAAAATTTCGATATCACTCGAGATCCACACCAATCATCCGCGAGCATCGTAACGAATTTTCCGAGAATTTTCCGAACGGGCGCCTGCGCCGTGGAAATCCGGTATCTATAGCGACGACGCGATCGAATTCTCGCCGTCGCCGGCGTCGCACCTGCACTGAAAATCACGAACTTTCCTGCGAACGGCGTCCTGGCTAGCAGGAGCGCAGCTAGGCGAAGAGGCGCCGAGCGTCGGCGTCGGCGACGCCGAAAATACGACGGCGCCCCGCTAAAAATACACCCGCAACAGGTGGGTCGTTATATGAGCGCGAGGCACGTGCGTTTTGTATCTTCGAAACGCCTTTGTAATGCGGGAACTTATCTAATTTATTTTCGTATATACCTAATTGAATATTCAGGAACTTTCCTGCTGGAATTTCGGTACTATCTAAATTAGTGCTAGTGCTACATATTTACATTTTATTGAACGAAGTAGGTGCTAAATTAGTTTGTGTTTAAAGAATGATTTGAAAGAGGAAGCTTTCTATTCTATTGAGAATTTTATTACTTCTTAGAAAGCAACTGAAAATTTTGTTAAATACAGATTGTCCCTCAAATATAATCTTTCTACACGCCTACGTAGTATAAAATTATAACTACACGCTGTACGTGGGGCATCTTATAATTTAAACATTCAGTAGTTTCGAGTGCTTTATCTTTACAACCTTAAGTGACCAAAGTAGAAGTTTCCTACCAATATTTTTATTGGTGCTCATTGATTAATGGTTAAAGGCGGTAAAGAATTTCTTTTCACAATCGTCAATGCGAGGCGTCGTCGAAAACGATAACGTACAGTTACTCCTTTTTTATTCTAATATTCGTATAAAAGATTAAATCTTACGGGCTTTCTTTTTTTTTTTTCGATAACTCGCTAATGGATTGTCGGAAGTTAAGACTAATTAAAAGAAATATTTCTCTTTGGCAATTGCGTAATTCGTGCGTTGATTTTCTATACAAACGTATTTTCTATTCAGTCGATGTTGATTAAATCGATTTTTTTTTGGCGAGTAAGACTCAATTCAATTGCAGGATTCAAAAGAACATGTACCGGACGGTTCTTTATAGGGTGCAAATGGAAACCAATTAATTTTTTTAATTGAATTTCTAACGGGCGATTTTCGATGAAAGCTTCAGGTAACTTATTGGAGTTCTGTACGCTATATTTTGCATCATAGTTTCCTGATGATCGAACGTTTCGACTGGTTTTTATGCATCCACTCGTGGCGTATAGACATAAAAGAGGTAGGTATGCTCACGTTCGCCATCAGAACGCTTCATTGGAAAATTTCAAGCTGGGTTACGACCTCGAGGAATTCGAAAACCGTCCGTCGCGTTTCCTACCAATCCGCATTTAAACGTAATTTGATGTACGATCAATTTGTCCAATAACTCTGGTACTTCTGTGGATGGAATACGAACAAAAAATGGAGCTAATTTATCTTCCCAGTGCGCGCTATATCGACAAATATTTGCTTCGCTTACGAATGAAAAGATTCAATAAGGTTTACTTCCTGATTTAAGGTAAATAATACCACTTTTTAACACCACCTCGCAAACTTGGTTTTATTACTTGCACTTGCACCGAACCAATGACCCGTCTATTTAGCATTAATTAATTGTCATATTAATCGAAAGGTGCTGGTATTCCGAGTGGTTAGTACGCCATAATAATTAATACCTAAATGCAATGACCGGCGCATAAATCAAAATAATTTATAGATACTTAACATCAATTTCATTTTTCATACATATGTAGGTACTACCGATATATCTCGCATGCGGCAGTTGGCGTTGAGAGTGAACATTCCGCCGTTCAATTAGGCGTATACAGTACTCCTTTGAAATATTTGCATACGTTTTACCCGCTTACAAATGATTTCTATTGTATTATTCGAAACGCATAAATTACAGATCTGATAACGACATTACAAAATACTCAGTTATAAATTATTTTCACCTTCACTTTTCCTTTGTGTTATCCGTCTAAAACGCAAGGCGGGAACCCTCGTGGCGCGAATTGCATAACCGAAACCGTTCGGTTGTATTCTTTTCTTTTTTTGGTCCATAAGAAGAAATTATGCAGGTATCATCATATCAAATGATCGTTATATTTTAAGAATGCACGCGTATCGACGTCGGGAATGTTTTTTCCGGCCGGCGAGATCCTCCGACGCGATAAAAACTCCGGTTGTCTGTACTGGTATCGTAAAAGAATGGATTACTTCATCAGTCGAATGATGGATTTTACAGCGAAACTACTACAATTCTCCTTTGATTAATATTTGAACAACATTTAACTACAAAGTCTACATATGGTATGATGCTGTATTATTAATGAATATCGTTTATCGGTCAGGCCTGTATTATATTTCAGGATTTATTTTGGTAAATTCATACTTTAATACACCAATGTTTCATAGAGTCGACTGTAATTATACGAGTTAAACTATTCATTTACCAATTAAATTTGATTCAGGTGTATTACTTCTAATTTCAATAGATTGTAATATGAATTAGTACGTTTCGAGATCGTAATTTTTTCTCATAGTACGAAGCTATAATTCAATGAGTAAACCACATACACGCTCGTTTTTTTATCCTTAGAAAATCGTGATAAACATCGTGAATGCTATATCAACTGCACACTAGAAAAAAACCGAATTCAAAATATACGAGAATCGTGTCTTCGATGCGACTGTAACCCATATATCGGTTCGACATTTGGCTCGCCGAATTCTCGACTAGCGTCGAAGATGCGAATAAAATAATTAAAATATCGGGCGCTAAAAATAAATTTGCAACAACTTTCTACGCATACGTGTAAACTTGTAAAGCGATAATGAAAGTAAGATCGGATTATAAGGCAGTGGGTTTTGATATCTGTCCGAAAGGACGTCGAAAAATAAACGAATAAACGAAAGGAAAATTGGGTTAACAGGTATTACTTATTTAGCGGAATTTGCCCAAAAGATTTAAAAAAAATACTTACAGCGCATTTGGACGTGTCCAATATTTCTACTTCTGTCGTTACGTTATCGAATGTGACGTTGTGGCGATAGAGGAAATCTGCAAGAACATTCAACAATTATATTAATGCGAAAATTCTACATATCAACGTAAAGCACTCCCCAAAAATGAGGCACGTACTCAAAGATAATTGACAAGTATTTTACAATTAAGTATATACATAGAAGGATAGAGACGGGCATAACTAATCGCATCAAGACGTTTGACAAGTAGGTCATAGGTATCGAAGAAACCCACATTTCCCAAGTCATCTTTCCGCCAATTTGCAAAACTTTTTAATAACGTTTTCGTCGTTCGAAGTATACAGGGAAGATACATTAGAAAGTACCTTATTTTTAGTTCAATAGTTCATGAATTAATTTCTGAGGTACCTCACGCAAAGCGACACACCCTGTACATGCGATATTAATTAGCGTCTCGACGAAAAGTAAAACCGCTGATTTATTATCATTTATTACCTTAAGTAGTGTACGTTTGAAAGATTTAGATGCCGGCTATTTCTTCCTGCTGTTGCGTCTTTAACACCTCGTAACTCAAACGCTTTTATACCTCTTTTACAACGCTAATTAATGAATTAGTCGATGTGTTCTAATGGGTAATTAATTTCTTTAAAACGCGTCGAAATGACCAGTAAACTCGCCACCTAATCAGGGTGTTGTTTTCGGGGCTACGCCACTGCTAAAGGATTATATATCGACATGACCGCGTATATGTATCACAGGTGGTAATGAATATGAGGAAACGATCGGTTTGCTTGTGGAGAAACAACACGTGCCCGCGCACTAAAACAAGACATTACCATAGGGTTTACCTATCGATAAATATTTATCGACTAATCAACTACCGAGAGATTGACTTCCACTAACGAAATAATATACGACCGTGCAGGCGGTTTGTAAATACGGCCTGCATCAAGTAGTTAAAAAGTACGCCCGTTCGAAATGTTTTGTTTGAAATTAATTTGAATATCTATACCGCGGAACGCGGGATTTTTTTTGTTGGTTGAAAATCTCTAAAAGTAGTGAGAATAATAACGACTCGATTTTTTTTAATGATAGTGTAAAATTGAGTCGTCTTGGAGACAATTTTATTTTGATTTAACCTACGCGTTTGTAGAGATAAAATTGACGTATTAAAATGTCGTACTTAGAGAGGCGTGGGTACTACTTTTAAAAGTTAACGTATTTGTCACCATCACAGCGGAGCCCATCTGCTCGTAAACATACTAATGGTGTTTTTTAATATCCTATTGTACATGTAGTTTTTTCCATGGCCTTTTATAGAATTTTTATTACTTATCCCGTTTACGAAGTGAAAAAAAAAACATACAACATCTTCTTTCGACATTATAATGGCACAATAACGAAATTGTCTTCGTTTTCCATCCTATTATAGTTTCTACAAGTATAATACTTACTTAACTGCGATAGTTAGAGAAATTTCACTTTCTGTTTGTTTATCCAATTATTGCGCTTCACAATTGACCAAGTGTTCGTTTCCTTGGGTGAAAAATAGTCGATTTGCCCGCGGTAAACCAGATGAAACAATGCCCGAACCAGCCCAATTATCTCATTAGAAAATCACTCGGAAAAGTCCTTTACTTTCCATAAATTTAAAACAAACCAATCATTAGATAATTTAGAAGGTTCATTTATACCAACAATACACTAGATTCTCCACTTATAATTATTCAAATCACTTTAACTCTTCTTTATATTTTATCAGTATTCTATTCCGTTTCATCAGTATCTGTTTGGTAAAGGATTTTAATTTGTACAGCGGTGCATCTCGGACGAAAAAATCTCGTTTTAAATCGGTAATGGCGATCATTAAAGACACTCATCGATCCCGAGGCGAATTATTTTCGCGAAACGAAGAAGAATCCCGTAGAAATCCGTAATAATGGCCATTTCCTCTCCAATGACCCATCCTCTCTACTTATCTCAAGTAGAGCATCTCAGTACCCGAAGATATGGCGTTTTGTTTTAAACGTAAAATAACTAAACCTTTAACTAGCCGTAAAAGTAAATATAAAATTGATCGCAGGACCGGCTCGGATGTTTCTACAGCATTTTGATATTTAATGTTAATTGCTCGGCAAGTGGGAAAAGCGCGCAGGAAATTCTCGTCTCGCTCATTCATCAAGCGCAGTGTTTTATCGTACAGTTCATGAATGGGGCGCGGATTTCAAGCGGGAATACAAATGGAATTTCCTTATACTGTCGAGCACAAACGGCTTTAACAAAAGGACTGTATACATCACGGCTCTGACCACACAATGATATGATGACTAAGCTCTATTCACGTACTTGCGCATACTACACAAGGCTAAACGGAAATCATGATATGCCCGACGATATCTTTTCCCCGCAAAAAAATAACGAATAAGAATGGTATCAGAGGATATATTCAGAGATGCAGATTTTATCGAAGGTATACACCATTGTTCTACGTATGTGTGTTTTGATTTATGTTCGCATAGATCGTCAAAATATACCTACAATTCACAAAGTTGGATTTGCATGTACCGAGTACCCAATAAATTGATCTTTTACGTAATTGCAACAAGTTGTGGTTTATTGTTATATAAATTTCGCAAAGGAAACATTTTACAGGCGTATGTCGTCTTGTTAACGTTTTATGACGTCGAAAACAATAAATTAGACGGTGGTATAAAACAAGAGAATGCCATGTAATGATGAGCCTTTCTATTGTATCATACTCAATAGATGATATTATATATAATGTACGGGATGATATAACGCTCTATGTTGTGATTATCGCATTGTTAAATTTAGACTTCCTGGAAGAATTCGACTTCTATATTTTTATTCATAATTTATCGATTAGCTAAAATTAATTAATTAATTAATATTTCGTTTGCCACGGCTGTAAATTAGTAAATAACGAGACGAGCCATTGTCTTCGGTATTTCAATAAAACTATTGTTTGGCGTCTTCGGTTCTTCGAAAACGAGACGACCGTGAATAATCGAAATCCCATTCGATACCGCTCGGATCGCCTTGGCGATTTTTTCGATTATTTTTTAAATTCGTTTCACACTCATTAGGGAGTTAATTAAAGTATAAAGAAGTTCGCCGCGAGTTTAATGCGCGTAAAAAGAAATTGCGTTTTCTTCTCTAGCCTTGGCGCTCGACGGTTCGATTGATTATCGTACGAAAAAAAAAAAGTGAAGAAGAAGAAATTGCGAAATAACCCGAAATCAACCGGCCGATATCGTTCTCGTCGATAGATTCGAGCATCAATCCTTCGGCGAGGAGGATGCCTTTTAGAATAAATATTTTCTACTCTTATTACTATCATTACATTGTTGTGGTCTTCAATATCGTCGAGAGCACGATTAGCATTATTACAGTAATAAGCGGCGGATTTTTCGAATTGTTGCTCTTTGCAAAAGGTGAAATGTGTGTTGAAAAATCGCCGAAGCAACGAAAGCTGCGCCAAGTTTACTTTCTACATGTCGATTTGATGCAACACATGTTCATCGCCATACCATTATTCCTTCTTATCTAATAAATAATTATCGGATTGAAGTTCAAACAACGCGCGAGTACCGAGGGCGAAAATTGGATGAGTCCAAATGGAAGATATTATAGTAATAAACTATAAGAAAGTTTACTACAAGTACCCCATCGAAGTGTCGCCTACCAACTGTCTAAATATCAACCTCTCGGATCTAACACAAGTATAGAAGAAACTGTTGCAAAAGCTGTCGATAAACAATTAGATAGCGAAACGCGAATTATTCTATCAATAAGAACGGAACAAAACGAAAAATTAGCCAAGATAGATCCGTATCGAACGGGGAAAAAACGCGAAAGTACCAGTTAGCGAACCGCCGGGATTGTTAGGCATGATCTTGATAGAGGTAAAAGGTGGCACGGATCATTTAATTCGCTAAATTTATCGGAATCATCGGCCAGAAACGTCGAGTATTGCGTTACTTCGGGCATTTGCGCTGCGTTCATCCGATCATAAACGTTCCTTGCGTTTATCACATAATTTAACATTAATAAAATGTAGATATTATTTTATATCGTAAGTGCCAACTATTTTCCAGAAAGAGGAGTTTTTGCACCGCTCGATTTTTAGAAACACTATGCATAAATTCAAAATATATTGTAATTCTTATAGGTATGTAATTGTCCTTTTACCGAGTTCTCAATGTTAAACGGTCGTTTATGATAAACACATTTGTATGTTAACAAAGGGCATTTTTAAGCGAGTCGCAAAAGGGAAAAATCGCCTCCGGTACACTACTGATACAGTCATTATCGAACGGAAAAAATCCCTAATGCATTCAATAACGAGTTGTTTACATTCAAACGCGGTAACATTTAGCATAATAAAAGGATCGATTATTTTACTCGGAATCGAATGAATAAATTTTAAACGTACGGCGAGATTTTTTTCAAGCAAAGAGGGTCAGCCGTTCTCTCGGAATGTCATTGACAAACGATCGAATTAAAAAATAATAAGAAGAATTTCACATTCAAAATTCGAATACTTACCGCTCGTCGAACTGTATTCGCCTATGTATCTTTTCGTCAGGTAACGAACCGTCACAGCTGCAACAAAACATTTAACATTTAATAACAATATGGTCCAAATAACGCTATATGTATATCAATTATTTTTTACTCTCTCTTCTTTACTCAATCTCTATTCTGTACATCTTTATTCCTTACATTTCTTTTCTTTACATCCTAATTATTTACATCTCTATTCCATATTCTTTAAACCTATATTCTCTATATCAATCAAAAACGGTCCATGATCCAGATTATCGTTCGAAATGACTCGAATCGACTGAACTGATTATTTTTCTTTCCAATTTTCTCACAATAATAATCGAAAATGATACGTCTGTGGACGCCTCAAAACCAATTTCGACTTACCGGAGGTAACAAAATACGCGCCTTTTGAAGCCGAAATTGTTACCGTTCGGGCGCAAATAAGAAGGAAAAAACCGCAACGTATTATTGGTGAACCAGAAATCGCGAATCGCTCCGACTGGTTTTTATGTGGGGTCCCGGTGCAAGGATTTTTTTATACGAACACGCGAATAGCGTCCAAGTTGAATAACCGAATTGTTGTTAATCAAGTTACATAAAAATAAACCTTTATTATTCAAACGAAAGTTCATTAAACGAACAGAAGAATATACGTACGAGTACTCGAGTTAATTAACGTGAAATTATTTATTTTTATTGCATTCTTTTGAATTAAAGTTAATCTTAACATCGATTTTTTTCTCTATGGATATAGGTTTTCCACGCGCCGGCTCGCGAAGATAAACAAGTCGACGCCTATTAGAAAATAAATTGCATAAATAACGCCAGAAATTACCGTGTAATTAGATTTGAAGCGAGATTTTATCGCCGAATAAAATTAAATAATCGAGTCGCTTAGAAACTCCTCATAAAGACATCACTTTTGCCGAGTCGCATTGTATTTTAAAGCGGCACTAACGATCTCGTTTTTACTTGTTTCCATTTTTTTTTTGTTCGTTTATTTTTCCAGGCCATTGTTGCGTCGAAAACGAGGCGGGCCCCGCGAAAATTTCACTCAAATTCGACCGGCCGAAAACAATGAGGAACGCGTGGGCGGTTTTTAGCGACCGTCCAATTTCACTTTTCCACGTAATATTTTACGCATCGACCGGCTAATTTATTGCCTATTAAGTAACCACACGTTGTTCTTCTTATCCAGCTAAAAACCCCGGCCGGCCGAGGCGATACAAACTAATTGGCCGTTAATTACGGTTGATACATGATGAATCGACTCGGGTAATATAAGTTAAGCAATTATTTAAATAGCTGAGGAAATTTATTTACGTTGTAAAGGATTTGTAAAAAAATGGTGGAGGAGTGTACGCCTCCACCATTTCCGTGCGCATCCGCCAATTTTCTAAATTTAAACCATACTTTTTGCTACTACAAAACGCTAAAATAGTGTTTTTTTTTTTCTCGGTTCGTAAGTGTACCGAAACTAATTAGCCGTACGGAATAAATCGATATGAAATTTACAGCGGTAATATCGCGCGTCGGTTTCCTTTTCTTCTTATATTCGCCGGCCGCTGGAAGAGCTACAGACCCGTTTTTGCCTCTGCGATTACTTGTACTTATTGCGAATCGCGTTTTAGCGCCGCCGTATCAACAAACGGCGTTGCCGAGCTTTCCCGGTCGCCCGAGGAACCCGCGAAAAGCGACCTTTCCTCGGAAAATACATTGTACAATCCGCGCCGCGGCAACGCCGCAATAATCCGACATAATTGAATGTATTCCGATGGGCATTAAAGTTGATATCGGTGCCTTGAACTCATTAGTGTCGCTATAAATTAGCACTAATAACCATTATTAGGAATAAATCGTACAGTAAGTAGCATTATGCACGGTATTATCTAATCATCCCTTAATTTTTGCATGCCGAAAGCTGCGAATGTACAGGGTATTTTATATTAGCACAGCGCCGATTTGTATAGTAAATAAATGGACGAATTAAAATGTTAAAATCCGGCGTGGCAGGTCGAGCGTTCGCAATTTAACGAGCCGTCGCTAATTAAATCAAATTTACTCCGGTATATACGAGCGTTTCCTCGTCGCGTATTCCCATGCAGCGTTCCGGTTATTTTTTCCGGCGCGAGATCTCCTGAAGTTCGAGTGTCAATTAGAATTGAAGCGAAACATGCGCTCGGCCCGTTAGCTCGTTGCTCCGGATTTATTTGCGAATAATTATCGAATGTTTGAGGTGTAGTTAGTTATACAATAAACTCGTTTTCCGCGTAGATTGTTCCGCAAGGGAATTTTTAGTTAATTATTTCGATGAAATGCGATTTGAATGACGGATATTTTATAGCGCCGCGTTTAATTGGGTGCCGTTTATGTTTTTCGTTTTTTTCGGCCTCGTTTTCTTTAACGGGGCAATTAACGAAATTAGCGATTTTTTCGCGTCGAATCGAGAACGCGTCCCGTTAGAAAAACGACCACCTGTCGGCCGGATCGTTGTAAAAGTGTCGTCATTGTGTCGATTGTCGTCGTAACTTCTGTCGAATGCGACATATGAGGACGGCTCGCTTTCCCGATGGCCATTATTGAGTTGTCACACAAACTCGCGCAAAAACCCGTCGCGAGTGTAAATGCGAATTCCCCGGAGTCAATATCAATACGACAGGACGTTATTCTTCTCGCTAGCTCGCAGGAATTCACTGCGCTTTGCTAATTTAACGCAACACGAAAGCTATACGAATTTTTAACCACCCTGTATATTTTCTAAATTGCATACTGTTTTAATATGAATTCGAATTCGCTAATCCTGCAGCTCGATTGATTTACGGCGGGATTTTAAATCGGTATACGAACTTTTTTTTCTATAACATACCGGTGTCATTTGTTATCGTCTATTTCTATAGTTTAGTACTTTCACTTATTTTACAAGCCTCTAGGTAAGATCGGCGCGCGGATAAACAAAGTGTAAATTCACGAGAAAAAACGCTCGACAATAACAAATAACTTAGCCGAAGATTAGATAACCTACTCTCAGATATTTAACGAGCGTCATGCCGCAGCACTTCGTCGGATTGATTGTTGTTGCCGGTGAAAAAAGGCATCGGCGATGAAAAAAATCGAATTGGAATCTCGTACCGTGACCAATAAACAATTTCGACTCCCGATGCCCGTCGGCGTTGTTCCTCTCGACGTGAAAAATAGCCCAACGTGTAATTTTATTAGAGCCATCGATTCGAGGCCCCCCGCGTTCCTCGACGATTTAGGCGCAACAAATCCGGAATCGAAGCGGAAAAATAATTAAGCGAATGCGAAAATTTCTTCGCGGGAATTTTTACACTCGTAGAAAGCTCACCGAGAGATTCGAGCGACGGATAAAGGCGGTAACGAACTCTCTTTTATCGGACACCCTTATGCACTTGTAGTTTCTCGCCGAAGGGGATGCTCGCCACAACGATTTCCTGCTGTCCGACGGGAGATAACGACTATAAATATTCCATTAGCGCGGCAAAAATCGCAATGGCAATTGGAACAATGAACTAAATTATTATGTTTATTGTTTTTGTCTTTATTTGTTGAATTTCCTTAGGTTATAACTGCTCGTACATGCTCAGTTCGTCGGAAATGTATTCGATCACAAGCGTACAGGAATAATTTATTACACATACGGTACATTACGATCGATTTAAACAACAAATTTATTAAGTCAACCCATCCTGAGATTGATAGATTGTTAAATTGTATCAAATTCAAATTGACTCATTATTTGCAGCACCTCATGTACCACGGACTTTATATTTTATTGCAATTTCGTTTATTTATAACAACCCGGTATAATATATTATAAATTTAGTAGTGTAGGGATTTTGAAGAACTTAACAAAAATTAGAAGTATGGATACAAAAAAATTAAATGAATCTTGTACGCCAATGAGAGCCGTGTAACAATAAGAAAAGGCAATAAAATCAGTTTATACTCTCATGAATAATATATTGTTAGAACTAGCTATTCATAGACTTTTGTTTTTCTACACATATTAATACAAAGTGATTTAAGTTTATGACCGTATTGGTCAAAGACATAATCATTAAATTCGAGGTAAATTTTATGTTAAACCGACCTACATTTCATCAAATTTCATACAGTTTAACCTTTGTCCATGATCTACAGTTATATCCATTTTCAGTTACGTTTTATTCCAGTTTTATTGGCGTTTATTAACTTCGAGCAATAAACGAATACGCGTAAACTGCGCCATTATCGGAAATTACGAACCGTAAAAATTCATCGATAAGTTATCGCTTTAATCCCGTAAGACACGAATCACAAACATTAATTTCTCTTATCCAATAGATTGTTTAAAACGCGAAAAACACCCTGTAGATATTAAAGATGCCACATAACGATATGTGGAGTCCTTACCAACGAAAAACAAAGGCTCATCCGTGGGCCGAAAGTTTTTGAACCGGTAGGTTATAAATCTGAATTTTATGTTATAATCATGCCCTTTTCGGATGGGGCATTCAAATATTGTTTTCTTTTTGATATATGGACCGTTACTGTTGCGGTAACGGCGCAATTAAATACAATTTTCTCGTTCTTTGTTCAGGCTCGAATCTTCCACGTATGTACGAGGCGAACGCGAAAAGTACCCGCACCTACCCAAAATCGTAAAACTCTAATATAATATACTTTGTAAATTAATATTCCGAACAGACGTTAGAGACGTACTCCATTAGAAATTAATACGTATCGTATTACTTTTGCTTTATCGTCATTTCCTTTTTACATACATACACTGTACACTCGGACTAAAATTACCGTTAATCGAAATCGACAAAAGGAAACTATTAACTGTTTAATTATTTTACCAAATAGACAAATATTCGAGCGGCCTTCGACTCCGACTTCTTCGAAAATTACTCGGCAGGATATTACCGAATGCTCTTTAATCGAGCGCCACACAATCGAAAAATAATTACAGGATTAAAGGAATAGTGTGTGCGTAAAAATTTCTATAATAGCTAGGCTATTCGGGAACTACTCACAATTCAATTAACGCC